TTTTGCTTTCAAGAGATATGTGTTTTCAAGAGAAACCAACACCTCCAATTCTGCGCCCACTTCTTAGGCAATCCGTTGACCCTAATGAACCTACTGGTACAGCTGATACTTCAGAACTCCAGCAGACAAATCAAGACATCTTAAGGATTCTTAAGGTCTGAAAAGTCAAGACATCTTGACATCTTAAGGTCTGAAAATTCTGAATAGTGTCCGTTTCAGTCGACAGTCAGGATCATACATTCTAACCAAAAATTCTAAGACACTCCTCCCGCGGAAACAGCCCCTGCCACCAACCATCGGCATCTCCGTGGCCTGCATGACTCACCAGCTCTTCGGGGTCCTGGCGCACCGAAGACAACTAGCAACACCTGCAATATGCACTGCACCCTTCTGGTATTTGGGATATCACTTTGTCCGAGATCTTCACACTTGAGTGTGATTGGAGATCAAGGTTTGCACTTGGAGGCATGGGGCCCAGCTAATTCCTGTGCCCATGCGATCTGGAGTTGATGTGGATGGGTTCTGGTTTCGGAGTTGTAGGACCAAGCTCAGAAGAGTGCACCCCTTAAAATTTAACTGAACTTTGCAAGGTCAACGAAGTTCATATGAAATGCGTGGAATTGATTTGTTCATTGAAAGAGCATGGACGAGGCTGTTGCATGGTACAAGATTTCATGATTGGACTGAAATGGTTAATTGCAAGGTCTGATTCGCCCACAGAAACACTCGTCCAAAAATGAGTTTGGCGCAGAATGTGTCATGTTGGGCCTATTATGTTCTTTGACACTTGACCGATTCCGCCGTTGGCTTACACAGCGCCTCTCTGAGACATCTCTTTCTACCCATATCATGCGAGGTCGTGGACACTGTCCGCATAATTTAGGTTGGGGAAGACAACAAGATTGAGGTGGGACGCTGATAACTTTCAAGAGTTTTCTTTGTGGATATCCAAGTTCTCAACTTTGGAGAAGGGTTCAACAAGTCGAGGCCGATGGCCAGTGTGCGACAAGTGTCTGCAGGCCGCGAGAGTTTGGGTGGCTCCAAATGAGGCTCTACAAATTTCTTCAAGACTCCACCCAACACATCATCACAACGACGTTCCGCGGATTTGTGGTTGAATTGAGCGAAGGTTTAACATGGTTCAAACATGCACAATCCAATGAGCGCAATCATCAGATTCTTTGCTTTTTAGATGAGAAGGCACCCATGTCAGGATGTTCAAGACCGTTTTAAATGACAGCGTCATAAAGGCTGCTCAGAATGGCAAACAGAATGGTAGCAAATCCAAACATGTTCTGCGTTTTCTAACAGTCGACATATTCATACCTTTAGGATCCTTTAGGCACAATAAAACACCTCATTGCCCAGCTCAACTATTGTCAGACTTTCAGCATGTGTAGGCCAAGGCAAGCGCGTTTCCAGCCTGAAAAGTTGGAGCCACTCGTGCAGCCATGCAGCAGCGGGAGGTTCGTGTTCGATGGGCAAAACCAATGGACCAATCCAAATGAGAGGGGACCTGAGCAATTCCAGCATGGAAAGTGACAACCCTGTGAATTTGTCCCTGTCAAATGGGCTAGCAAGCTGGCAAGTTCGTCACCTGCACATGGCGACCGAGGCTTGATTTCAATCTTCCGAGGCTTGAACCAGGATGTGCCAAGAAGCAGCATGATGACTCCAGACACTTGAAGCAAACAAAATGGTTGGAAGGAAACTCCAGAAGGTTCGCTGATAGAGTGTCGTTTCCGTGGTCGAAACATAACTGAGCAAGAAAAGAGCCCAAATGAGAAACATGTTCCTTCAATTCTGCACCTCTTGCAAAACAGTAATCTATTTGTGCGCGCACAGATGTTTGCATTTTCGTACCGATTCGACCAAGGGCGCGTGAAACATGAATGCCGCACCATCAATCCAGAGATCCCACCAACAGCTGAGTTGCTCCACGCGCAAATCTTGGAGCTTCATGCCTCAGGTAAAGCAGAGGCACAGTCAAAATCTGCGGCTGTAGCTGTGTCTTGCTGGAAGCAGTCGGACTCCGAAACGAACGACCTGCTCTCGTTGACACATTTGTGCAGCCAAGATTCTGCATTCTCCAGAATCTTCACAACTTCATCGTTGCCCTTCCTTCGTGCATCGTCCAATGGAGTCTGGCCTGAGCGCTGCAATTGATGTTGATTGCACCACACTCATGGGTCTTGATTCTGATGTCATTTCAAAAGCCATTATATTGAAGAATTTACTTGTAGAGATTTGTAGAGCGTTTGATGTATCGAATTCGGTCACTTTAAAACAAAACATTGTTGCCGTCATTCTTCACGCCAGTTATTCAAGTTGCTCCAAACGCTATTCACACCCCATGTTAACAATGTTGATTCGGCTGAAGTTCTATCTCCCAGAGACAAGCCCTCCTTGAACCCCGCCAGAATCCAGAACTTGCCATTAACTTTCATGGTAGCATTCATAGTTCATAGACTGTGTTGAAACTTGTGGGAAGACTGCAGTTTCACATCACTTCGGCATCCCTTTGTGGCATTCGAAGTTGAAGGAGACCTTCAAATTCGAACCCCCAGACCAAAACAAATAACACATTTGAAATGTTTATAAGCACGTAAGAAAAGTATTCCCGAGAGGTTGCTTTCAAGTAAAACGCCCTCAACACAAAATCAACCGATTGGACGGTTCTTGTTGTAGTTCAGTCCAGGAGGGCAAAGAATTCCAATGAGAAAAAAACCAGAGAATCAGGTTGTCCATACATGCCCATACAGCTTCGAGATGGCAAGTTCGGTGTTGTATAATTTCGCTCTGGCATCTTAAAAAATATCTCGAACAAATGAGGATATGTGTATATGTAGTATGCACGCATCATTTTCATGCAACGTATTGCACATGCGGAGGCTGGATGTGCGTTGTGCATATTCACAAATACCATGGATCATATGATACATCATGATACATTTCTATCAACAAACATTCAGTGAGTCTCCATCCATTGAGACCTCGTCCCATGCTGCGTGCGTTGTCTCAAGCAATGCTGTGTCTTGAGGATGTGGTAGAATGCCTGTCTACATGCGTACTGTGTCTCCGCATCTCCAATCACCTTCAGCTAAACAACCCTTGTGCCTGAGGACCCTAAGACCCATTGATTGCCTCCCGAACACAGGAAGTCTCAACGTTCAACAAACAAAACAGCCACCATAAAGTACTATAATAAGTATAGTAATACAATAGAATCAGATAAGAAAGCAAAAGCCATCAAAAGCCCATCACATCTCCCAGCCGAGGCCCCCGGCCTCCGTCGTCTTTCACAGTCACGGAAGCTTTCGCCTCGACGAGCAGCTTCACCACCTCCACCCGGCCTTTGATCGCCGCAAAATGCAGCGGGGTAGCACCTCGGGCGAGCGACTGCTCCCAGAAATGTCCTTCTGATGCAAAGCAAAGTGAAGACACCGAAGATTGTGAAAAGATTGTGAAAAATCCATGAATGTGCCAAGTCTCCGAGAAGCTGCACATCCAAGGCTCCATCAAAAGCTGAAAATGTCCCTTTCAAAAATTCAAGTTATAGTTGTTTGAATTGAGTGATGATATCTGTTGGTTTTAAAAATCCTGACCATCTGAAGTGGTTGTTGATCCAAATTATTTCAACTGGAAACTGCCTTTTTTAAAGCTCTATAAAGCCTGCCAAACCCACCAAACCCACCCTACCGTTTGCATTTCACATCATTTCACATCATTTCACATGTTGAATTCGATTTTGTTTGGCACCCTGAAATCTCCCAAAGCACCGTGCATCCATCTCTTCAGGGCCGAGAGGCTGTCGAACTCGTCCCTGGCGTCCACCTCGGCCCCCGCCGCCAGCAGCACCCGGCAGATCTCCGCGTGGCCTTCGTCCGCCGCGATGTGCAGCGCAGTGAGGTATTCCATCGCGGCCACGGCGCCGGGCACCGCCCGCAGCAGGTGCCGGACCCCCCCGAGGTGACCGCGGCGGGCCGCTGTGAGGATGTCGTTGTCGCCTCGGGGGGCCACGGGCCGCCCCTGGAGGGCACCGGTGGAAGGGCCACAGAGGCCACAACGGAGACCCAAAAAATCGTGGAACACGTCGAATGTTTTGTATTTTTTTTGAGTCAACAATGAAGTGTATGGATGTGTATTGATGTGTATTGTATGGCTTGGATATGCTTGGATTGTATATAACGAAGACATACGAAGACTATCGAAAATAGAAACATCATGGTTTTGAGGTCACTTCCAGCTGTTCAACTTTAACATGTTATCATCTCAAACCATCTCAAACGCATGATCCAAGGCCCTTGGCATCTTAGCGTCACATGTGGAGCCAGGCCCTGGATCCAATTTTCCATTTCCTCTTGCTCATAGGGCACTGGGTCACTTGGCGTCTCAAACTAGTCTTGTCAGGTTGTACTCCATCTATGACATCTACGTATGCAAGCTGCGAGTGTTACCATCTTCTTCGTGTCAAAGTGATGGCTGTATATAGTACAGATATGTACAGATAATGTATGTATATGGATTGTATCAGTTGTATGGTAATTGGATGTAATTGGTGTGTGGTGGCATCATGGCATTTGCAAGGGATCAAATGCCTCTGCCAAAACTAGATCCAAAAAAATATTCACAGCCCCTCTGATGTGGAATTGTGGATCATAACAACTAACGCACACCTCCAAATACAGAAGATGTCTCAGTGAGGTTGCGCGGCTTCCATTGTTTCCATGTTCGATCTGCTCTATCGTGTCATCATCTCCACGTGATAATCTCAAATTGAAAATCTAAACTGGTTAGAGGCATGGCATTGTGAGACTCAGAAACGGGTCACGGAACCGTTGCAAAAAAGTGTCCGAAGATCTCAACTAAGTCTATATTCACATCTGAATACATCTCAACCAACTTGCACTCAATCCGTATTTGCCTGCTGTTCAACGCTATCATTTTATATTTTTTTTATAAATCATATCTCGCATCTCAAAGCGATGATCTGCAAGATCTCAACCTCTAAGACCCCAAGATCCTGTAAGATCCTGAAGAATCTCTCCAAGACCCTGACATTCTGCAGCTTCCTCTGCATCGGCAGCTTCTTGGGCTTCTCGGGCTTCTCGGACTTCTTCAGCCTGCCGCTTGGATGGGCAACATCGCAAGAAACTCACACGGAGGGTCTTGGGCACAGCAGCAAACAGCATGTTCTACATGAAAAACAAGTGCCCCCATATCAAACCTCTCAAAACTTCAAAGACAGTGTACAGTGTGAGACACGATACTTCCGCACCTCCAAGGATGCTACCTCTTCCTCAGCTTTTCCCGTGGGTGATCGAGGGTCAAACTGCAGCTGTGAGATCGGCTCCTTGATGTCAATGACATCGGCGTCCCACACAGATGAATCCTTGATCTCCACGACCAACTTGTCACCGGGCTTGTCACCCGCCTCAGGTGCAGTTGTGGGGTCTTGACCTTCTTCCAACATTGGCTTTGAAGGTGGCACAGCATCTGGCTTCAGAGGATCTCTTTGGATCGCCCTGGCATCTTCTCTTCGCGATGAATCTTCCTGCGAGGCCTGAATTGCCAACTTCGATGGCAGCTGCACTTTCGTCAAGGCTTCAGCAGCAGCAGTGGTGGTCTCGGCCATAGCTGTGGATTCATTGAAGGTATCACTTTTGAATTTCGTGACCCCCAAGAATTCCAGCCAACCTCCTCGGAGGAGCTGGTTCACAATCACTGCCTGAAGCTGCGCCCGAGTGATTGCTTGATATATGTTTGAGCGCCCCACCTGGTTTGCACTTTGGTCACCAACTTTTTGATCCAGACCAATGCACACCACCATGAGTGACTCCAGTCCCTTTGCATTCTCCACCGTGTCCAGCACTATCAGCTCTGCATTGTCTGCATGTGTGGCCTGCTTCACTTTGACGTTTGGGAGCATGCGTAGCGACTCAGTAAACGATATCAGCTTGAAGTTTCGCCCTGCAAGGCGTGCCGTCAAGAAGTGTCTTTGCAAGGCATCTTGGAACTTCTCCAGAAAGTCAGGGTTGGGCACCAAAAGAGCCAAGCGATTGTGGAAGCTGAGTCCAGCATATATGCGCATCACATGAAACAATGCAGATACCGTATGTTTGGCATAATCTTCAAAGACATGTGCATCAGACTCGAAGAGGAAAGCCTTCAGGGGAGGCCCAGCTGGGCATAAGGAAGCAATTTGCTCTTTTTCTGCTACACTTGCTTGAAATGCAGCTGCACCAGCCACTATCCTTTTCGTACTGCGCACCACTTGTGTCAGGCTGATCTCCTTCGCTGGTGGAAAATGCACTGCACCAGATGAGTTTTGGGATACACTCGACAAGAGCAACACTTGTCGTGGTGCCTCAATCTTCTCTTCCAGAAAAGTGTGGTTCTCATCTATACAGAAAAAATTGTGTGCCTCATCGATGATTGTTAAGAGAAATCGCTTTTTGCTGTCGGGCAACGGAATCCAGTCAAAACGGTCGCCTTTGATATGCAAGCTCAGAAAAGCTTGGCTTTGGGGTTCCATCAACACAATGCGCCTCAACAACTTGTGAAGCTGCCCGCGGTTTGAAGAGCTTTGAGCAAGCCACCGAACGAAGTACAGGCCAAGGGCAATGGAAGGTGCCAGGAAAAAGACTTGTCCATCAGGATTGTTTCTGAGCTTATCTAATGCACACTGTGCAGCTACGAAAGTCTTCCCAGCTCCTGCAGGAGCCGACAGATGGACAACCCCGTGCTTCATGAGATCTTTGATATCTCTCACTTTCTCCTTTTGATGGTCTGTCAAGTCTGAGAGGTTTAGCAGTTCTCGCTCAAAAACCTTGCAAAAGTGCGTCTTATCCACGTGCACTTGCCACTTCTTCAAAGATTCATTTATGCGCGATTCCAAGTCACTATTCAAAACTACATTCCGTACATGCTGGAGAGACGCAATGTTGTCAATCCCAAGTCTGAGAGCGAGCGAAGGTGTGCCGTCTGGGAATACAAAATCCTGATTTGTCACGATCCCAAGATCTGTTGATAATGAGTCTTTCACCAGGTCCACGAAGTTTTCGCGCCCAACTTCTGCAAGCATCGCCTGAATCAAATCTGCATGCCTAACCCGATCTGTAACAAAAATGTGCCACTTCGTTTGGGACTCTACGGTCCATTTTGCCTCCTCGGGCTTCTCTGGTATCCTCAAGGGAACATCGAGTAAAGTACCTCTGCACCACTGCTTGCCGTCCCACGCATCAACTTTAGCCCCAACTTTGAACTCTTCCTTCAGGAAATGGCTGACGTCCACATGATCATAATTCCAAGCCTCTCCTTGCTGCTGCCTCATCCGCTCCAAGTATGCGATTTCGCACTTTTGGCTCCCACCGCAGCCAACTCCATCCCAAAGATTTACATCATCTCTGTTCAAATCCTCAAAAGAAACTATACCTTTGCCAGTCTGTGCAGGGAAAAACACGACCTTGAGACGTTGCTTCAACCTCACGGCTTCGGCCACCTGGTTCTTCCACGTGTGGAACCATTCACATCCCCAGGAGGCAACTCTGCCACTGTCCTCCCAAGCTTGTCGTGCTTTCTCTTCAGCTTCTCGTTTGTCTTTGTCGCTGGCATCTGATCGAACCACAACAGTCTTCGTGGCTTTCGCCTTCTCTACCTCAATCTTCTCCTCTGCTTCGCTACAAGATGCTGGCAGCTCTTTCAAGTAACCGAAAGTCCTGAAGTCCCGCTGCCCATAAATTGTGGGGCAATAGCACTGGCCACCAAATTCTTCTTTATAGTGCTTTCCAAGGCCGTCGGCTGGAGTGCAGAGGAACACGCACGCCACGGATTGTCCGTGACGTTCCTTGATCAATGCATCCCAACCGGCTGCATATTTTCCAGGAAAGGACACGTAGCAGTCTAAACCTTCTTCCCGCTTGATGTGGCCGTGGTAGGAGATGTCGGCCGTTTTCTCCAGGATGGCAGGCTTGTCTCGCAATGTGAAGTACAGATGAGGTTCTTGAACGTCAACCTATCCAACAGGGTGAAAGTTTCGCTGCTCATACAGCTGTGGTTCAGGTGTAACTTGCTTGTGACTGTTGTGCACTGAGAAGAATTCCAAGATTTCAGGTACTGGAAAATGAGAATTCTCTAACAGCAGGATGTCCCTGACCGAAATCGACTTTCGATAATTCGGACTCGATCCTCTCTTCTGTCTATAATTTTCTGTTGTTCTTCTGTTTCGCCTGTTTCGCATAATATGCTGCAAAAGTTTTACGCATCTGCTCAAGCGAAGTCTATTTGATGGCACCTGTGGCAAACGATTTTCTGGTTCTTGAACGTTTTGTGCTGCAGCAGCATCTGCTTGAGGAAACGAGCGGACCTGTAAACATTGATGAGTCCTTCTCCGTGCTTGGGGTCTGAAGTATGTCTAAAGTATTCTAAAGTATTATACATCATATTAGCTACGTTTGAGAACGTTCCAGTGTCCAGATCGCATCATAAGACAGACTGACATAACAGAGGACACATGGCAAATATATGCAAATATCATACTGTGGAGTCATTGGTGCAACCAGTGTACCTCGGGTTTGGAACAAGTCTTAGAATGTCTTCTGTATGGCACCTCTTCTTGGAGTTGCGCAACCTCTTCTCGGAGCCTCTGCGACTCATTAGCTTCGGCCTTCCAGACTCTGAGCATGACAGAAGATACAGAAGATGTGGGATCCCGGATGCCTAGTTGGATGTGTGACTGATGTGCAGGATCTTTGAGTATGGCATAGTATGGCAATGTATGGCATGTATTTTCTACAATTCAGTTCTGTGACATCTGCAGTCAACAATGTCTATACAATCTTGTGACTTGGAAAGGCAGCAGAAAGAATCTAGAATGGACATGCATGGACAATATTGACCACGCCTCTCGCAATCGACTTTCTAGTTCTTCAATGCGCCGAGCTGCAGCAGCTTCAGCTTGACGCAATGAGCGAACCTACAACACCCACGCTACCAACGAGTCCTTCTTTGTCCAGGAAAACATGGCAAAACAATCTGACCAACAAAGCACACGTTGCAGAAACAAGTCTCGCGATCTCTGACGATCTCTGACGATCTCATGGGATGTATTCGGACGTATGGTGCCTCTTCGTTCAGTTGCGCCACCTCTTGGAGCTTCTCCGAGTCGTGGGATCCGGCCTTCCAGACTCGAGCACAGCTGGATGCGGATCTTTGCAAATGTCAATGCTGCGACATGCTGCGACCAACCCTCCCATCTTCAACCACCGCTGTCAATGTTTTCAAACATGAAATGACACAGAAATGGTTTTCCCCCGTTGCTACTTGGTGAGACTCTGCTATGGATTTCAAACAACTCGCGCTACAGTATTTGGAATCAGGCAGTGTTAAGGTTTGAAGTGCCAGAAAAAACTTGCTGGTTCATCCAACCAGCCAGTTCCCGAGTATACCTGTGTCAGCAAAAATTTCAGCACTACTACAGGCACAAAAATAATGAACAACTGAACCTTCTGACATATTCAACACGGTTTTGGCATGGGACTGGCTCCCGCAAACCCATGACCTTCTTGTCATCGCCGTCCGTTGCAAGGTCGTGAGGTGTGGTGCCTCGCAACACAACTCAGCTCCGAAAGCCAAACATCTGCAGCACCGAGCCAGAACAGAAAAGCCCACATCCCACAGGAATTTCATATTTCATGCTCTTTCGCTCTTGCGGCGAGGTAAGTAAAAACATGTCCACGATACTGTCGCACGATTCCGAAAATCACTTGGTTGCATCCAATTCCTGCAATTTGCTCTGGATATGTGCAGGATTCAAATTAGTTAAAAGGTGAGGCCCTGAAAGGTGAGACCCTGAAATCGAAAGACTGTGAGACATGAGACTTGGACCATCGTGAAAGGCCGCACTTTGACAGAGTAATGTTTCTACATTGACATGAAAGAAATATAATTTCATGTCTTTCAACCTGAATAATCTCAGTGCGAAGCACAGCGAGGGTTGGATCACAATCTCATTTGGAGCAAATGAGTGGCCAAGCAGTGCTGTCTTAGAGCAGATCGCACTATATGTATAATGTAAATGAAAATATCTTTGTGCCAGGAAATACTTTTCAGAAAATTGGCTTTCTGATTCAAAATACAGAATCAAAGACTACAGACTACCATAGCCATAGACTGCTTGTTTTGATTTCAAGAGAAGTGTGTTTTCAAGAGAAACCAACACGTCCCATTGGGCGCCCACTTCCTAGGCGATCCATTGACAATCATTGACCCTAATGAAGCTACAGCTGATACTTCAGAACTCCAGTGAACAAATCAAGACATCTTAAGGTCTGAACGATCACTCGAAACCTGAATTTTCCGAATACTTTCCGTTTCAGTCGACAATCAGGATCATACATTTTAGCCAAAATTCTAAGACACTACTCACTCCTCCCGCGGAAACGGCCCCTGGCAAGCGTTTTCGCAACCAGCACACCAACCATCGGCATCTCAGTGGCCTGCATCTGAAGGTCCCGGAGGAGCAGGTAGACTGTGACTCACCAGCTCTTTGGGGTCCTGGCGCAACGAAAACAAACTCTGCTCCTTGTGGACGAGGCTGTTGCATGATACAAGATTTCATGCTTGGACTGAAGTGGTTAAAAATTGCAAGGTTTGGATCGCCCACAGAAACACGCCTCGAAATATGAGTTTGGTGCAGAATGTGTGATGTTGGGCCTATGTTCTTTACACTTGATCGATTCCGCCGTTGGCTTACACGGCGCCTCTCTGAGACATCTCTTTCTGCCCATATCATGCGAGGTCATGGACACTGGCCGCATAATTTAATTGGGTCGGGGGAAGACAACAAGATTGAGGTGGGACGCTGATAACTTTCAAGAGTTTTCTTTGTGGATATCCAAGTTCTCAATTTTGGAGAAGGGTTTAACAAGTCAAGGCCGATGGCCAGCGTGCGACAAGTGTCTGCAGGCCGCGAGAGTTGGGTAGCTCCAAATGAGTCTCTACAAATTTCTTCAAGACTCCACCCAACACATCATCACAACGACGTTCCGCGGATTTGTGGTTGAATTGAGCGAAGGGTTATATAACCCAGCAAGTCTCAGGGACAACTTTTTGAGGTCGATCTCGCGGAAAGTGGTCCCAAAAGGACCATGTTCAGCATAGTTGGGACTATGTACTTTTTGGGTCCTTTGGGCCAAAAAGGAACATGTTATAATACCATCATATAGATTATAGATGTACTTTCTGGGTCCTTTGGGCTCAAAAGGAATGTTGCACATATATACATATCTCAGGCTGAGGCAGGGGTGTAGCAACCCCGCTTCAGCCAAGGGTTGTGAGTGGCGTGCCGGTGGTTCCTATGCAGTTACTTCAAATTTGAAATTCTGCCTCAAGGAGTCTGCAGCCTGAAAGCTGTGCCTTAGGGTGCATATGGGTTTCCTATGGTTTCCTCATCAAAATAGACACCTCCCACAAAGCGTGAGCAAAGCGTGAGCAAAGCGTGAGCATTTCTCGCCTCTGATCATTCACCATTTTCTGTCAGGTTGATTGGAGTGTTTTTGCACGCAAGATGCATTCCACAACAGTAATTCGCAATGACATTTCTGAGCAAGTGTGTGACAAAGTTGTGTGACAAAGGAGGTGTGTGATGAAGTTGTGTGTGTGAAAGATGGTGTGTGACAAAGTTGTGTGTGAAAGAGAGTGTGTGACAAAGTTGTGTGTGGAGGCGGCGGGGCCGGGAGGAGCGGGCGGGAGCGGGATACAGAATCAAAAACAAGAACCCCACACAAAGATGTGGGGAAAAAGCAAATTGCTGCACAAAAAGACAAGGAAAACACGAACGCGTCCTTCGCCGCAGCAGCAGGTCCAGGGCTAAGTGTAAGATCTTTCACAAAATCAATGCCCACGTCATGTCCATGTGGTTCTCGCAAAATTTCCTTCAACACTTGAGCGGCTTCTTTTTGCTCGTCCCGTTCTTGTAGAACTGCTAGGTCGGCCTTGGAGTTCACGGTCAGTGGATGCTCCTGAATGCGCATCTTTATCAAAACATCAAAAATTATCGAAACGGGTTGTTTTCATCCTGATTGAAACAGTTTTGCACGATGCGCATGGCTCACAATTTACTTTCAACTGCTTGAGTCATCAGCTGATCAGGTCGTATGCGATATGGTCCTCCCCAAGCTTTTGCGATTGCATTTTCGAGACTTCCTTCAACACTGTCTCCTCTTCAAGTTTGGGCAACAAGGAGTTGCGATTGGAAAACAAAGTCACTCGCTCATCCCTCGAACTGCGACTTAGAGAAAACCAAACCATCAGCCGATGAAATTACACCATATACGATTTGGGAACCCTGATGCTTTCTTGCCTCAGGTGGAAAAATATCTCTGTGTATTTGGTGCGAGCGTGGGCATGTTCTTCAATTGGAAATGGTTGGACGTTTGGACGCTTTGAAGCTAAGATGTCTCTGGATGAAACCATATCGTAATGATGTTGAAAATTATGGTTTGCGAGTACCAGCACCAAAAATACTTTACCCAATAACAACTTGTGCATCCTCCGGCTGAGATTTCAGCCTTTGGCTGGCGCGACTATGTGATTAGCACAATGCTTTTCAGTTGGACAGTTGACCAAATGTCTTTCGAAGCAAAACATACAATGACCCTTAGCATTTGCTTTTTATGCTTTTTGACATTTTACATCTAGCAGGCAAATGTTGATTGAAGACTGATTGAAGTATATCGAAGTGCATATCAAGCAAGGGTCCTTGTCTTCGTGAAGGCATCCAAGTAAACTCGCAAAGCAGTCGACCGCCCTGCGTGTGAGTGGGTCATCCTGGCTACGGGGTCAAAACCGTTGAGGGCCCTTTAAAACTCTGGTTTTGTATTGGATCTCCTCATTATTTTGGACCCCTTTTGGATGTATTTCATATTAGGGGCACGGGATCATTACACTTTGCTGGAAACCATAATCCCAAAAAATATGTTCATTAAGGGAAAAAGTCGCAACGCAACGTTCGGTGTTTTTTGGGCAAATACTGTGTTTACCAGTAGTGACAAAAATATGTCAAAAAGACTTTGAGCCAGCAGCAGCAAAACCGTATGTTTTGAAAAAGTTGTTCAAAGAAAGCAAAAAGCCCTAGCAACTCTCAAAGAAGTAGCTCCAGATGATCAAAGCATATCAAAGCCATAATGACCACGAAAAGATTGGATTCTGGCTTTCCGGGTGGTAGGGTGGGCACATGCTGATGTTTCACAACAACCATGAAGTTCATCCTTGAGATCGGTAGGTCCAGCTCGGCCAAGAGCTTCAGATACTTCCTCCAGTTGTGGCTTCAGATCGGCAGATCGAGCTCGGCTAAGAGCTTCAAATACTTCTTCCAGTTGTTTCTGCGCTCCAGTGAAATCCTATCAAGACGACGCATGACTGTATGATATTGATGATAATGTATCATTTTGAATTGTTATTGTATGAACTTGGAATGGGGTTTTCTTGTATCCAGAAAGCCCACGTAAATCCACGTAACCTAGGTGGAGCCAATTCAGGATTCCTACCGGAAGAGCCCAACAGGGAGAGGATCAGGAGACCGGAGGCAGAAGTCGGTAAGTGATGGAGACATGACAAATCCGAGGTGGCCCACAACTTGCAACAACCTATCCGACTTCCTAAACAAGATGCACTTGTGACACGCAATGACCACATGATCACTGGTCTATAGCTCTGTGACTCATGGTTTATTCTTCATGATGCCTCTGTCGCCAGTTCTGCTGAAGATGACGTTCCTCCCCCTGCTGACCTGAACCAAATGACTCTTCATGGTTGCTGTTGCTGCCTCTTGACACTGGTCAATTTCCATTGTGTCAGGCAGTTTCCACACTAGAGGGTCTACATCTCTCACAAGTAGCTATGTATTCAATTAAGCCTGCGGAACTTCTCGGAAACCTAAGTGTATACACATCACAATGTAGAATAGGTATATAGATCGATTGGAGATGCAATGGATCGGTCTGCCTGCACTGCCAACCTGTCGGTGATTCAACTTCAGATCTTACAAAGCAACCCCTTCACAGTGGAAGTGACACTATAGTTGCACCAAGTTGCCCAAGCACTTGCTCCACACCTTTTGCTTCCTGCAAGCCGCATCCGCTTTGGTGAAAGTCACTGAAACCGGCTTAGAGGCAGCCGCCAGAGTCAACAGGACTAGAATTGAACACTAAACCAGTTGCATGCTTGAAGTTCATGGAATCCCTGTGCAAGGAGGGGAAACAGGGATCCTGGAATCCATAATTTCTGTATTCTACGTGTCAGACTCAATTTCGAAGCATCTGCCAAGCGTGCTCTTTATGGGTGTTGATCGAAATAAAGGTTCCTGGAACAGCTACAATCGCCGATCGGGTACCACATGACCGCACCTCTCGCAAATAACTGTCTAGCTCTTGAATGCGCTGAGCTGCAGCAGTTTCTGCTTGATGCAACGAGCAGACCTGCAACATCAACGAGTCCTTCCTTGTGCTCCGACCACAGGTCACTGTCCAGGTTATATCATCAAACAGTCGGGCCCACAAATCACACATTGCAAATGCATATAGCCATAATATTTAGTGAAATCATAGGTGCAACGGTGCAACGCACCGAGGTCAAGCTAAAACAAGTTTTTCAAAGACAAATCTCTTCTTTGAGCTGCACCAGCTCCACCTCTTCCGGGAGTGTATCGGAGTCATGAGCTCTGGCCTTCCAGACTGGAGCATGACCCATCAAGCTGTCAAGCTTTTACCATCTTCAGCCATGGATGTGAAACCACAATCAGGCGCACAGGACATGAAGCATGGCAAAGGTAGAAAGCTTGCAAGGTAACACTTGCCTGCATTTCCTCCACTCTTCTCCTCATGCTGGGGACCTTGCAAAAGGAAACACAACATAGCACAGCACCCCCCCAATTTCTGACGAAAATTTACATCTTCAAATCGACAGAGGATCTGGGTTCAGTATGGTGCAGTCTGAAGATGTTTCAAGTTGCGTGTTGGAAGACACGGATCGAAATACATTCCCTACATTCCACCCACAGGTTGCAAGGCTGACTTTGCAAATCTGTGGCTCTATTTCCTCAGACTTGTACTGGGTGACTGTTGTTCAGATGAGCTGAAACAACCTCTATGAGATGAGCTTCTTACCCAGCAGGGGCTTTTCCTTGGACTGTTCCGAACTCAAAGTTTAGATAGCGCTCCTCCACACCCAGGCCGTCTCGTAAGTTGTGTGATCCCGCCTGTGCGAGTCCAGCCGCCAGAAAAGTGTCAACATCTGCTGCCTCCAATGCCGATGGTGCAGCATGGTGACGCATAGCGAAGCAGTTGGCACAACTGAATTTCATGGATTTCTTGGAAGCTACAGGAACAAAGCTCAGTGGTCAACGGCATCTTTGTTGGGGACGTGACAACTTGGCAGCACTTAACCGCCTCCTCGGCTGTCAGCTGGTATGCCTGAGCCGAGCTGCCGCTGCCCATGGTGATCAGCAACCTGGAGGCAAGCAACCCTGCGAAAAAGATCCACATAAATCCACATCATTGAGTTGTTAATACTTTTCTACCAGGTCTTTTGGTGTGCCATCACCATTTTTTGGCGAATCTCAAGATCCAGCATGCGTGGTAGAGGCGATGTACCGATGGTAGAGGGCCCTAGCTTGTTTCGAGCCTGGGGAACTCAACTGACAGTGAAGGTCACACACCTGTTCCTGCTTTCATTGATAAATGTTGTGGGTGGAAAAATTCCACCACTCCAGACCCAATTACTCAAGTGAGATTGATTCACACAGAAATTGATCCAATCCCACCAATTAAAATTTCCTAGTCTGATAAACTAAGTCAGCTTCTTCCATTTCCGATGACTTTTAAGTTTCCTGCCCCTTCCCGAGTCCTGCAATATTCTGTAGTCGACCGAAGAAACTCTAAGGCTCAAAGGCCTGCCACAGAACCTGAGTGAGGTGTGCAAAGAGCAGCTGAATTGCCCATGAAACTGAATTCGAAGCCGGGCACCCAGAAAATGCACGTGTAAAAGTAAAAGCACGTTCCTGTCCCTGGATGCAACTCATTTTGCAAAATGGTACATTTCGCATCCAAAACTGAGGCCAAGCGCAGACACGGTTGCAATGAATTCAAGAAAAAGTGGCGGCAAGAAAAGGAACACGCCAATGGCTTTGCAAAGGCACTGTTCCAACGACTTTGGATTCGTTGTGCGAAACTCTGGTTCCAATTTAACCATCCATTGCCACTTTGCTAAATTTGGTTCCGTTCACAACTGCACAATGAATGCATATTTAAGACCCACTGGTTTCCTGCGGATCCTTTTCTGTGTTGGAGCTACAAGCTGCGCCACGTCAAGGAACATTCCAAAGGTTGACGACCTGCTCAAACTTGATATCAACAACTTTAACTTGAGGGAGGAGATGCCAAGAAGCTGAAAGACATGACATGGTCGAACTCTTCCACCACACGCTTTCTGGCTCAAGCACATCGTGGTTGTACACTTTGTACACATTTGCACAATATTTGCTGAGCGATTAACTGCCAACCCCAGCTTGATCTATCTGATTCAATGACAAAAGTCTTATTTCATATGTTTCATACATTGCCTTGGTTGGCAGTAGTTGGCCACAGCTCAGTGCTGCCTGCCACGGCCATCAATAAAAACTGCACAGATCAAGAGCCTGGACCCCTAAAATGATTCAATGTTACAAGATGATACAAGCTTCATTTTATGCAAACTGACCCAACATGCTCAGATTTGCGCTACGTTTGCGAACTCCTAAGAAGTGGCTTTGCAACCGCGAAGTGCTCATGCTTGATCTTAACTCTTAACCATCCGAAAATCAACAAAATCAGAGGCACAACTTTGGATGAGGGGTGCTCAAAAAGCTATGAGTTGATGCAACTTTTTGGCCATGGAAGCGCCAGCTCGGAGTACGACCGTACATCCACACAGCATGGGCCAACTCTAACTTCTGATGTACTTGATGATTCAGGTTGGACCATGGTTGACTTTTGCTGATTCTCATTGCTAATTTTCATGGAAACCAATGCTTACTGATTTGATGGTGATCTACGCCCATCATTGCTGATCCTATCTCCGCGAGCAGAGGATCTTGCCTTGGATCTTTTTCCGGAAGCCCGATGGGACGGGCCACTTGGCAGGATGACTGCGGGTGATGAATCACAACCTGGAATACACAAAGTATTTTCCCAAAGAGTTCGAAACATGTCAATTCTTCAGAACCAGTACATCTAACATCATATAGTCCCGAAAAGCCACCCGGCAGACGTCTGAGAAGGCTACGGGAAGGCAAATTGCAGTCACTCCTAGCGAGGGCAGCCGTCCCATGTCCGTGCAGGAAACTAACAGTGGAGTTCCTGTCTGATAATCGGGTTTCGGAAATAACGCTTTGCTAACATCCTAGTAAAAAACTGTGTCAAGGAAATCCAAGGGCATGGGAAGCTGCCCGAGGCAAGTCTTTGAAGTCTTCAGCCTCTCTTCTCCAACATACTCCAATGTGAGCCAGCGTTTTGTAACCATGAGCTGCAGCAGGTTGAAAGAGATTTTAGGAATCCATGCCTCTGCATGTTACGAGTACTATGCGCACGTCTCAAATTCACCGAGGCGGTCTTGTGAACAGATTGGCGCAGATGTGGACCGCGAGGGACCTGTTCTTATCGTCACAGCCAAGATTCGGCGTCCTCAAGTAGCCTCACGACTTCGGCGTGGCCCTCTTCTCTTGCACGATCCAAGGGCGTCCGGCCTGAGCGCTCCCAAGGCATGTGAAAGCCGAAGTCGTAACTTCTATAGGTGTCCAATCGCAATGCCCAGAGCCAGATTGACAAATTGATTTACAAAGCTTTTGTGCGTTTCATATGCGCAACCCCGAAATGTTTGAGATCAACATGTAGAGACTCTTGCCTTAATCCTCCACCCCAAACAAGTTTGCAGAGAAATGCCTTCAAAGCCTCTGCTTCCATATGTCAGGTGGGCTGAAGTTTCATCTTCGAAACGGAACAAATTGATGAACAAAGGCAATCTGCTGAGAGCCTTCACCATACATGGAAATCAAGCGTACGTATCAAGAAGAAGATCAACACCGCTAGAAAGGAAGCACAAAGTGTCCTTGAGAAGAGTACTTCTTTGAAAGGTGTCCATGTACATCCACAACTTCCACTAGTATTACTGCGTGGCAAAATGTATCAAAATGTAGCGTGTGCTCACTTACCATTTTGCTGCACTCAAAGGTTGAAGGAGCGAGCAGGCCACTTCACCCGACAAAACACAAACATGTAGGAAACAGGTTCTTTGCTAGGACCAGGAATTGCAACGAGAAAAACCAGCTCAATATCAGGTTGTCCATACATTTCCAATCAGCAGATAGATTGTTCCTTCAGTTTTGTAGATTTTGGCTCTGGCGAGACGTCTTGATAGATATCACTATGATATCAAGACAGGATGTATGACAATGTGTGATGTATGCTAATCATTTTCATGCAACATATGTTGCATGTGGAGGCTGGAGGTGCGTTGTGCATATTCATATATCGATCATGACGCATCTCTATCAACAAACATTCATTGGGTCTACATCCATTTGCATTGGAGGTGTCTTCTCATGCTGCTTCCATGTCTCAAGCAATGCTGTGTCTTTGGGATGTCGAATGACGTCGAGAATGCCTGTCTAAATGCGTACTGTGTCTCCGCATCTCCAATCACCTTCAGCTAAACAACCCTAGGGCCTAAGGACCTTAAGACACCTTGACTGACTGACTACTGACCACAGGAAGTCTCAACGTTCAATAACAAAACAGCCGCCACAAAGTAATAAGTAAAGTAATAAGTAAAGTAATAAGTAGTAATATAATATGATAAAATAAGAAAGCAAAAAACGTCAAAAGCCCATCACATCTCCCAGCCGAGGCCCCCGGCCTTTGTTGTCTTTCACAGTCACCGAGGCCTTCGCCTCGACGAGCAGCTTCACCACCTCCACGCGGCCGTTATACGCCGCCCAATGCAGCGGGGTCTCACCTCGGGCGAGCGACTGCCCCCAGAAATGTCCTTCTGATGCAAAGCAAAGCGAAGACACCGAAGATTGTGAAAAGACTGTGAAAAATCCATGAATGTGCCAAGTCTCCGAGAAGGCGCACATCCAAGGCTCCATCAGGAGCCCCAAATACCGCCAAGTTCAATTCTTTTCATGATTGAAATTATTGGTGTTTCAATCGTGTGATATATATTGATATCTTCTGTTTTTTCAAATTCTGTCCATGTGTGGTTGTTGATCCAAATGATTTCAACTGGAAACTTGAAAACTGCCTTTTTCAAAGTTTCAAAACCTACCAAGCCCACCAAAACCGCCCAAAGTTTTACAATGTTTTACCCACCAATCCCACCAAAACCTTTACATTTCACGAGTTCGAAATTCTTATAGCACCTTGAAATCTCCCCAAAGCACCGTGCATCCATCTCTTCAGAGCCGAGAGGCCTTCGATCTCCCTGGCGTCCACCTCGGCCCCCGCCGCCAGCAGCACCCGGCAAATCTCCGCGTGGCCTTCGCCCGCCGCGACGTGCAGCGCGGTGGCGCCGAAGCCGGCCGTCGCGGCCACGGCGCCAGGCACCGTCCGCAGGAGGTGCCGGACCCCCCCGAGGTGACCGTGGAGGGCCGCCAGGAGGATGTCGTTGTCGCCTCGGGTGGCCACGGGCCGCCCCGGGAGGCCACCGGAAGGACCGCAGAGGCCACAACAGAGACCCAAAATTCTTTACAAGAATTAAGCTAGAATGAAATCTAAGTTTGAAGACTTGAGCGAGAATGAAATCTAAGTAATCACAATTAATTCAAGTACATGATGATTTGGTTTTAAGACAATCCATAGATCTCAACATGACCTCAGCATGACCTCATGCAATCAGTCTGACTCCTTTTAAGTTTGTTGGCTCAACAACTATGTGTATTGTATGCTTTGGATATGCTTAAATTGTATAGAACGAAGACTAGGAGAAAATAGAAACATCATGAAACAATATGAAACATCTGATTTTGAGGTCAGATGGGATATGATGGGATATGATGGGATGTGATGGGATATGATGCAGTGATATGACGGGATATGATGGGATATCGTTTCAGAATTAGTTTGGTAAATTCGTGCAATGTGTGTCGAGATGTGTCGAGAAAGCGCTGACCATGCAGGGAGCAGACCCGGGATCAACTGCTGAGAGCCCAGCATTCTGCCGCTTCTTTCTCATCCTCTGCTGGCTGGTTTACCTCAGCTGCCAAGCGAACAGACACAAAACTCACCGGTGAATTACAAGCGTTTTCATTGAAGTCAAGTCCGGAAACTTGTTTAGGGAGGCGGTCTCATGCTGAGGATCCACCACTTCATGAAGCATGTTTGCCTTCATTATCCACGCGCAATGTAAACAGACATAGACATGGACATAAATGGTCCTCCAGGTCGAGTCTCGACAAATGCTTCTGAACATGCAATGCTGCACAACATGTTTTTTGTCCCGCCATCCCAAAACACAAAATCAGTATGGTGCATGTTGAAGCATTTGAACAATCATCATGTGCATGCGCTGCCATGCGCTGGTTGCGTTGCTTGAGCTGGGGATGCTTATCATGTAATTATTTCAATGTCAAAATGAGTTGACTCGTTCTTGACTTGTTCTTCTTGCAACTTGTTCTTCTCTTTCTGCGAAAGAGTTTAATCTTGCTTGAATTTGAAGGCCCCCAACCACTGACAGGTGAACTACTGTCACATTGCTCCTGTCACAGGCCAGGCAGCTGCAACGACCGTCAGCGTTGTGCCAGGCATGACGTTTTCTTCTGCGAGCATCTTCTCTTCATCCCTTGGCAAATACGGAAAAGTACTCTTGAACGAGCGAAGCTCTTGTTCCAGAATTTGTGATCTTGATTCAAGAGACCTTCATTTTGTTTTGCTGTTGCACCGGTATGAACTTCCGAACCATAAATTACATGCACGTGTCCTATTTGCAAGTTGCAATGCCTGGGAATATCAGAATATCTCATTCCGCTTTCTTAAATTGTTCTGACATGTTCTAACCCGATTCATTCTCCAGAGGACGCTGTCATTCTGATTGTCCTTCGCCGAATGAGCTTTTCCACACCTGTATTTTCCTGGACTTATATCTGACTTTCCTGGACTTATATAATCGCTGCATTCACCGACATTCGCCATTCACCATCCACCAACATCTTGACAAACCTACACAAAAGTCACTGAAAAAGCTCTGTTCTCTTTCTGAAAGACATTGCCGGGTACCGTTACAGAAGGGCCCATCGACCCAGTATGAGTTCACCGCTGCCACAACGTCGTGTTTTAGGTCCGGTTGCTTGTCCGGTTGATTCATATTGCAACCTTCACCAGGCGCAACATTAATGAAACAGGCGAAAGTTTAGAAGAGTTCTTTGCAGCCCAAGCAGCAATGGCTCCATGTTGGGACCAATCAAGCTCTTTATGGCAAGATCCAGTTTTTGCCTCGGGTTTCCAACTGCGCGAATATGCAGCGCGGCAGGCTGCAATCAATCCCCTACTCTTCTCTCATGTGCGTGAGCAGCGCCAGAAACTGACTGCGCCTGCTTCATTCTGCGCCTGCTTCATTCTGCGTCTAAGTTGATATCCCTGGCCTCTTTAGAAATGAATGAAACTAAGAAAAAATAAGTATACCACATTATACCGAATTATACCACCATAAATAGGAAGTACAACCGAGCATTGAAGGCCATGAAAGTACTTGGGCATGAGGGTTGACAACTGCTGCACGTGGCACAACCAGTAACAGACACCTAGCAGAAGGAACACCAAGACAAAAACACCAAAACAGTGTCTTGGAGAATGCAAAGTCGCCAAAGACAAGCCAGGATCAAACCCATCTAAACCCCACATGACATGCCGCACACCCAACTTGCTAAGGTGCTGAGCTTCTTCTTTCAGCTGTCGGATAGTCCGGTCTTGCAACCACAGGCCTGAGATTCTGAAAAAGCAAACGAGAGTGGAGGTATCAACACAATCCACCGATGCAGCCGTGTAGGGCACCAACCGGCTCATCACATCTCATCTCATTTGATTCGGAGAATAAATCCGCCCGCACCGAAGGTGCTGGGGCGTGATCGTCCGGATGGCACTCGTAAAAGGTTACAGGTTTACCTGGGGGGGGGGGCATTTTTCGGCCAAAACCTCCTGTTTTTGATAGGTCGTGACGCTCGCCTTCAAAAAACACTGTAAAAAACAGTACGGAAGACACCTGTTCGTGAACGCGCCCGTCCAAAATCGGCAAGCGAAAAGTGAAAAAAACCCGTGTTTTTCAACTTTTTGACCTCAATTTTTTGGTTTGCAACATCTTTTTTTGCGGTTCCGCAGGTGGCCGGGCCCGGAGGCGGATTTTTGAGTTTTTGGACCCGTTTTCGGACTGATTTTCGTCGTTTTGTGATAGCAGAAACACTGGTTTTTACAGTGTTTTTCTGTTTTCTGCATGCTTGACGGCTAGCTTCAAAACTTCCAAAAACCTCGTAAATTACGCTGTTTTATGTTACGGTGTGAATGAAAACATCGTAAATACCAGTGTTTTTTGACGTTGGTTAAAAAAACACTGTAAATTACAGTGTTTTTGGCCACCTGACCCTCAAAAACCATGGTATTTGCAGTGGTTTCTGCTTCTCACCGCGCAAAAACACTGTAAATAACAGCAATTTCGCCGTTTTTTCATGTTTTTCGTTCTTTTTTGAACTGCGTTGGTCCGCTATACATGGCTATCAAATTCTTCGCGTTTTTTTCCGACAATCAGTACTTTCGGATGTTTTTGGTCTCAATGGCCGACATCATTGGCAGTTACGAGCGGTCGCGAAGGTGTGAGACAACATCGTTCAAACCGTGGCGGCCGCACAGGGGTTCTTGTCGCGGAGCGACGGCAATAGAAGAGAACAATGGCAGTAGAAGAGAACAATGGCTGACATCATTAACAGTGTGGACCGTTCACTCGATATACGATGCGGTGCGGGCGGTTGCCGTCGCGAAGCGACGTGAATAACATCGATTGATGAATCTGCAACAGTAACTCTTGAAAATCGACAGTAGCCACTTCTTTGCATGTCAACAGCGGAGATTCTACATGCTTACACTCGCTTACACCATCTTACACCTTGCATGGACAAAGGGAGGTGTATCCATGGGGCGGCCGAGTCACATTCACAGTCTTTGCCGCTCAGCAGAGCCACGAAAACCTGGCCACTTGGCTCATGCACTAGCTGCTAGCTAGCTAGATTCTGCCAATCGAAGGTCAGTTCTATGAGCATCGCACAATGTGAAGCAACTTTAGACGCGCTCCGATAGAATTTGATGGCAGACCACAAGGATTTACACTTGAAGACTCAAGGTCCAACCAGCCAGTTCCTGAATAATTATACCTGTGTCAGCACTACAGGCAAAAAGATGATGAACAATTGAACATTTTGACATATTGATCATATTGAACACTGTATTGCCATGGGACTGGCTCCCGCAAAACCCATGACCTTCTTGTCATCGCCGTCCTTTGCAAGGTCGTGAGGTGTGGTGCCTCGCAACACAACCCAGCTCCGAAAGCCAAACCTCCGCAATTCCTTGGGTGTGCAATTCCTGCAATTTGCTCTGGACCCTGAAAGGTGAGACCCTGAAATCAAGAGTCAAAGACCACCATAGACTGCTTGTTTTGCTTTCAAGAGATATGTGTTTTCAAGAGAAACCAACACCTCCAATTCTGCGCCCACTTCTTAGGCAATCCGTTGACCCTGATGAACCTACTGGTACAGCTGATACTTCAGAACTCCAGCAGACAAATCAAGACATCTTAAGGATTTTTAAGGTCTGAAAAGTCAAGACATCTTGACATCTTAAGGTCTGAAAATTCTGAAAAGTGTTCGTTTCAGTCGACAATCAGGATCATACATTCTAACCAAAAATTCTAAGACGCTCCTCCCGCGGAAGCAGCCCCTGCCACCAACCATCAGCATCTCCGTGGCCTGCATGACTCACCAGCTCTTCGGGGTCCTGGCGCACCGAAAACAAGAACTAGCAACACCTGCAATATGCACTGTACCCTTCTGGTATTTGGGATATCACTTTGTCCGAGATCTTCACACTTGAGTGTGATTGGAGATCAAGGTTTGCACTTGGAGGCATGGGGCCCAGCTAATTCCTGTGCGCAAGCAGCACTTGTGAAGAGACGTTGAACGCAGTTTTGCCAAGGGGCTGACACCGGCAAGGCCACACGAATCAACGAGCCCAAACACTACCAGGTTATTGAAGACTTTTGGATATGTTTGGCATGTTTCTGCCCATGCGATCTGGAGTTGATGTGGATGGGTTCTGGTTTCCGAGTTGTAGTACCAAGCCCAGAAGAGTGCACCCCTTAAAATTTAATTGAACTTTGCAAGGTCAACGAAGTTCATATGAAATGCGTGGAATTGATTTGGGTTCGTCTGGAAATACCGTATCCCCACTGGAAGGTTTGTCTAGGGGGTATGCTTCGGAGGTATGCTTCGGGGTTTGCTTCGGGGGTATGCTTCGGGGTCTGCTTCGCATGAACTTCATCACATGGAACTTACTTCATATCTAAGAGGCTTCCAACAAACTTTCCAACCTTTTATATATCTCTGTGTATATCCTTGCACACACACACACACATATATATATATATAGATAGAGACACGAATGGTTTTCTGGTCTAAATCAACTGCCAAGGGCCAGAGTCTGGCTTTCCCAAGTACAGGTGAAGCCCGAGGCTAGTTCTGACAGCAGGTATAGCTGGTTCAAGGCATAGCTGGCTGTAGGAAGCACGTTTGTTCTTGACAGCAGGTGGTTGGTTCAAGCCATAGCTTTGGTGCCATGGCGGTATGGGCAAGGATGTCTTATTTTCAGGGTTATGCAGAGATGTGAAGTATCTTACTCACGCGTTCAAAATGTGCCAGGGTCTGGAAGTTGAAGGTTCGAGGTATGAAACGTGTGTGATTCGGGTATGATTCGGGTATGATTCGCGGAGCACTATTCAGCACACCGTATCAGATCTAGACAGGAGCTACAACGGCCAGTCAGCACCAGAAGCTGGTCGATGCAAACGGTATCGGCTGCCACAATGAAGCTACAGCGGCCAGTCAGCACCGATGCTGTCTTCAACCTACTTGTCTGCACATGGCAGCCAGACTGCGGGGATGGAGGGCGGGATGGCGCAAAGGGCGCCTAAAGGCAGCATGAAGCAAGTGTCGCGACCCATGATCTCCAAACAACAACCATCAACAAGCCCTCAAAAATGATCTTCATTTTGGGGGTTTGCTTCGGGGTATGCTTCGGGGCTATGCTTCGGGGTGTGCTTCGGGGGTATGCTTCGCAAGAGCGCCACCTTCCACCAATACATATCTAGGACCACGGGAAAAAAAATACTAACCCATTTGTTCATTGAAAATGCACTGAGAAAACATGGGGAACGTGGACGAGGCTGCTGCATGGTACAAGATTTCATGGTTGGACTGAAGTGGTTAATTGCAAGGTCTGGATCGCCGACAGAAACACTCGTCCAAATATGAGTTTGGCGCAGAATGTGTGATGTTGGGCCTATGTTCTTTACACTTGACCGATTCCGCCGTTGGCTTACACGGCGCCTCTCTGAGACATCTCTTTCTACTCATATCATGCGAGGTCGTGGACACTGCCCGCATAATTTAGGTTGGGGAAGACAACAAGATTGAGGTGGGACGCTGATAACTTTCAAGAGTTTTCTTTGTGGATATCCAAGTTCTCAACTTTGGAGAAGGGTTCAACAAGTCGAGGCCGATGGCCAGTGTGCCACAAGTGTCTGCAGGCCGCGAGAGTTTGGGTGGATCCAAATGAGGCTCTACAAAATTTCTTCAAGACCCGCGGATTTGTGGTTGAATTGGGCGAAGGTTTAACATGGTTCAAACATGCACAATCCAATGAACGCAATCATCAGATTCTTTGCTTTTTCGATGAGAAGGCACCCATGTCAGGATATTCAAGACCGTTTTAAATGACAGCGTCATAAAGGCTGCTCAGAATGGCAAACAGAATGGTAGCAAATAAAAACATGTTCTGCGTTTTCTAACAGTATTCATACCTTTAGGACTTTAGGATCCTTTAGGCACAATAAAACACCTCATTGCCCAGCTCAACTATTGTCAGACTTTCAGCATGTGTAGGCCAAGGCAAGCGCGTTTCCAGCCTGAAGAGTTGGAGCCACTCGCGCAGCCATGCAGCAGCGGGAGGTTCGTGTTCGATGGGCAAAACCAATGGACCAATCCAAATGAGAGGGGACCTGAGCAATTCCAGCATGGAAACTGACAACCCTGTGATTTTGTCCGTGTCACATGGGCTAGCAAGCTGGCAAGTTTGTCACCTGCACATGGCGACCGAGGCTTGATTTCAATCTTCCGAGGCTTGAACCAGGATGCGCCAAGAAGCAGCATGATGACTCCAGACACTTGAAGCAAACAAAATGGTTGGAAGGAAACTCCAGAAGGTTCGCTGATAGAGTGTCGTTTCCGTGGTCGAAACATATCTGAGCAAGAAAAGAGCCCAAATGAGAAACATGTTCCTTCAATTCTGCACCTCGCAAAACAGTAATCTATTTGTGCGCCCTCAGATGTTTGCATTTTCGTACCGATTCGACCAAGGGCGCGTGAAACATGAAGGCCACACCATCAATCCAGAGATCGCACCAACAGCTGAGTTGCTCCACGCGCAAATCTTGGAGCTTCATGCCTCAGGGAAAGCAAAGGCACAATCAAAATCTGCGGCTGTAGCTGTGTCTTGCTGGAAGCAGTCGGACTCCGAACCGAACGACCTGCATTGTTGACACATTTGTGCAGCCAAGATTCTGCATTCTCCAGAATCTTCACAACTTCATCGTGGCCCTGTTTTCGTGCATCGTCCAATGGAGTCTGGCCTGAGCGCTGGATGTTGATTGCACCACACTCATGGGTCTTGATGTCGTTTCAAAAGCCATATATTGAAGGATTTACTCGTAGAGATTTGTAGAGCGTCCGATGCATCGAATTCCGTCACTTTAAAACAAAACATTGTTGTCGTCATTCTTCACGCTAGTTATTCAAGTTGCTCCAAACGCTATTCGCACCCCATGTTAACAATGTTGATTGGGCTGAAGTTCTATCTCCCAGAGACAAGCCCTCCTTGAACCCCAGGGCCAGAGTCCAGAGTTTGCCATTAACTTTCATGGTAGCGTTCATAGACTGTGTTGAAACTTGTGGAAAGACTGCAGTTTCACATCACTTCGGCATCCCTTTGTGGCATTCGAAGTTGAAGGAGACCTTCAAATTCGAACCCCCAGACCAAAACAAATAACACACCTGGAGATTCAAAATCCTGGAAAAATCCATTAGTTCTCGGTGTTTACCTGTTTTTCTCTGAAAACGATGGGTTTTGACGTCAAACACCTGAAACTCTTACAATTCATTGTTTTTTTGTTTTTGGAAAGGCAATTGGATCTCCAGGGTGTTTTTCAATGTCTGAGGGTTGAGGTGAGCAAAGTGAAAGCTGCCACCGAAAACGTTGGAAATTACCCGCAAAACTCCCACAAAATTCCGCAAAACTCCCGCAAATGTCCGCAAAACTCCCGCAAATATCCGCAAAACTCCCGCAAATATCCGCAAAAATCCGCAAATCCCAAAATGACGGAGAGCTAACATTTTCAGATTCTTGAAATCACTGAAAAGCGGAAACTCCTGAAATTTTCCAGGAGAAATCTCCGGGCATTTGAAATGGTGCTTCTCACGGATATAAGCACGTAAGAAAAGTATTCCGGAGATGTTGCTTTCAAGTAAAATACCCTCAACACAAAGTCAACCGATTGGACGGTTCCTGTTCTAGTTCAGTCCAGGAGGGCAAAGAATTCCAATGAGAAAAAAATCCAGGGAATCAGGTTGTCCATACATGCCCATACAGCTTCGAGATGGCAAGTTCGGTGTTGTATAATTTCGCTCTGGCATCTTGAAAAATATCTCGAACAAATGAGGATATGGGTATATGTAGTATGCACGCATCATTTTCATGCAACGTATTGCACATGCGGAGGCTGGATGTGCGTTGTGCATATTCACAGATACCATGGATCATATGATACATCATGATACATTTCTATCAACAAACATTCAGTGCGTCTCCATCCATTGAGACCTCGTCCCATGCTGCGTGCGTTGTCTCAAGCAATGCTGTGTCTTGAGGATTTGGTAGAATGCCTGTCTACATGCGTACTGTGTCTCCGCATCTCCAATCACCTTCAGCTAAACAACCCTTGTGCCTGAGGACCCTAAGACCCATTGATTGCCTCCCGAACACAGGAAGTCTCAACGTTCAACAAACAAAACAGCCACCATAAAGTACTATAATAAGTATAGTAATACAATAGAATCAGATAAGAAAGCAAAAAACGTCAAAAGCCCATCACATCTCCCAGCCGAGGCCCCCGGCCTTTGTTGTCTTTCACAGTCACGGAAGCTTTCGCCTCGACGAGCAGCTTCACCACCTCCACCCGGCCTTTGATCGCCGCAAAATGCAGCGGGGTAGCACCTCGGGCGAGCGACTGCTCCCAGAAATGTCCTTCTGATGCAAAGCAAAGTGAAGACACCGAAGATTGTGAAAAGACTGTGAAAAATCCATGAACGTCCCAAGTCTCCTAGAAGGCGCACATCCAAGGCTCCATCAAAAGCTGAAAATGTCCCCAATTCAAATCCTTTCATTACTTTCAAAAATTCAAGTTATAGTTGTTTGAATTGAGTGATGATATCTGTTGTTTTTACAAATCCTGACCATGTGATGTGGTTGTTGATCCAAATTATTTCAACTGGAAACTGCTTTTTTAAAAGCCCTATAAAACCTACCAAACCCACCAAACCCACCCTACCGTTTACATTTCACATCATTTCACATCATTTCACATGTTGAATTCGATTTTTTTTGCACCTTGAAATCTCCCCAAAGCACCGTGTATCCATCTCCTCAGGGCCGAGAGGCCTTTGTCGGTTCTGGCGTCCACCTCGGCCCCCGCCGCCAGCAGCACCCGGCAGATCTCCGCGTGGCCGTTGCTCGCCACCCAGTGCAGCGCGGTGCGGCCGCCGGCGTCCTTCCTGACCACGGCGCCGGGGTTCTTCCGCAGGATGTGCCGGACCCCCCCGAGGTGACGGTGGATGGTCGCCCGGAAGATGTCGTTGCCGCCTCGGAGCACCACGGGCCGCCCCGGGAGGGCACCGGAAGGGCCGCAGAGGCCACAACGGAGACCCAAAAAATCGTGGAACACGTCGAATGTTTTGTATCTTTTTTGAGTCAACAATGATGTGTATTGATGTGTATTGATGTGTATTGTATGGCTTGGATATGCTTGGATTGTAACGAAGACATACGAAGACTATCGAAAATAGAAACATCATGAAACATCTGGTTTTGAGGTCACTTTTCCAGCTGTTCAACTCTAACATGTTATCATCTCAAACCATCTCAAACATATGATCCAAGGCCCTTGGCATCTTAGCGTCACATGTGGAGCCAGGCCCTGGATCCAATTTTCCATTTCCTCTTGCTCATAGGGCACTGGGGTCACTTGGCGTCTCAAACTAGTCTTGTCAGGTTGTACTCCATCTATGACATCTACGTATGCAAGCTGCGAGTGTTACCATCTTCTTCGTGTCAAAGTGATGACTGTATATAATTGTATATAGTACAGATATGTACAGATAATGTGTGTATGTGGATTGTATCAGTTGTATGGTAATTGGATGTAATTGGTGTGTGGTGGCATCATGGCATTTGCAAGGGATCAAATGCCTCTGCCAAAACTAGATCCAAAAAAATATTCACAGCCCCTCTGATGTGGAATTGTGGATCATAACAACTAACGGTAACGCACACCTCCAAATACAGAAGATGTCTCAGTGAGGTTGCGCGGCTTCCATTGTTTCCATGTTCGATCTGCTCTATCGTGTCATCATCTCCACGTGATAATCTCAAATTGAAAATCTAAACTGGTTAGAGGCATGGCATTGTGAGACTCAGAAACGGGTCACGGAACTCTTGCAAAAAAGTGTCCGAAGATCTCAACTAAGTCTATATTCACATCTGAATACATCTCAACCAACTTGCACTCAATCCGTATTTGCCTGCTGTTCAACGCTATCATTTTATAATTTTTTATAAATCATATCTCGCATCTCAAAGCGATGATCTGCAAGATCTCAACCTCTAAGACCCCAAGATATCCCAAGATCCTGTAAGATCCTGAAGAATCTCTCCAAGACCCTGACATTCTGCAGCTTCCTCTGCATCGGCAGCTTCTTGGGCTTCTCGGGCTTCTCGGACTTCTTCAGCCTGCCGCTTGGATGGGCAACATCGCAAGAAACTCACACGGAGGGTCTTGGGCACAGCAGCAAACAGCATGTTCTACACGAAAAACAAGTGCCCCCATATCAAACCTCTCAAAAATTCAAAGACAGTGTTGAGACACCGATACTTCCGCACCTCCAAGGATGCTACCTCTTCCTCAGCTTTTCCCGTGGGTGATCGAGGGTCAAACTGCAGCTGTGAGATCGGCTCCTTGATGTCAATGACATCGGCGTCCCACACAGATGAATCCTTGATCTCCACGACCAACTTGTCACCGGGCTTGTCACCCGCCTCAGGTGCAGTTGTGGGGTCTTGACCTTCTTCCAACATTGGCTTTGAAGGTGGCACAGCATCTGGCTTCAGAGGATCTCTTTGGATCGCCCTGGCATCTTCTCTTCGCGATGAATCTTCCTGCGAGGCCTGAATTGCCAACTTCGATGGCAGCTGCACTTTCGTCAAGGCTTCAGCAGCAGCAGTGGTGGTCTCGGCCATAGCTGTGGATTCATTGAAGGTATCACTTTTGAATTTTGTGACCCCCAAGAATTCCAGCCAACCTCCTCGGAGGAGCTGGTTCACAATCACTGCCTGAAGCTGCGCCCGAGTGATTGCTTGATATATGTTTGAGCGCCCCACCTGGTTTGCACTTTGGTCACCAACTTTTTGATCCAGACCAATGCACACCACCATGAGTGACTCCAGTCCCTTTGCATTCTCCACCGTGTCCAGCACTATCAGCTCTGCATTGTCTGCATGCGTGGCCTGCTTCACTTTGACGTTTGGGAGCATGCGTAGCGACTCAGTAAACGATATCAGCTTGAAGTTTCGCCCTGCAAGGCGTGCCGTCAAGAAGTGTCTTTGCAAGGCATCTTGGAACTTCTCCAGAAAGTCAGGGTTGGGCACCAAAAGGGCCAAGCGATTGTGGAAGCTGAGTCCAGCATATATGCGCATCACATGAAACAATGCAGACACAGTATGTTTGGCATAATCTTCAAAGACATGTGCATCAGACTCGAAGAGGAAAGCCTTCAGGGGAGGCCCAGCTGGGCATAAGGAAGCAATCTGCTCTTTTTCTGCCACACTTGCTTGAAATGCAGCTGCACCAGCCACTATCCTTTTCGTACTGCGCACCACTTGTGTCAGGCTGATCTCCTTCGCTGGTGGAAAATGCACTGCACCAGATGAGTTTTGGGATACACTCGACAAGAGCAACACTTGTCGTGGTGCCTCAATCTTCTCTTCCAGAAAAGTGTGGTTCTCATCTATACAGAAAAAATTGTGTGCCTCATCGATGATTGTTAAGAGAAATCGCTTTTTGCTGTTGGGCAACGGAATCCAGTCAAAACGGTCGCCTTTGATACGCAAGCTCAGAAAAGCTTGGCTTTGGGGTTCCATCAACACAATGCGCCTCAACAACTTGTGAAGCTGCCCGCGGTTTGAAGAGCTTTGAGCAAGCCACCGCACGAAGTACAGGCCAAGGGCAATGGAAGGTGCCAGGAAAAAGACTTGTCCATCGGGATTGTTTCTGAGCTTATCTAATGCACACTGTGCAGCTACGAACGTCTTCCCAGCTCCTGCAGGAGCCGACAAATGGACATCCCCGTGCTTCATGAGATCTTTGATATCTCTCACTTTCTCCTTTTGATGGTCTGTCAAGTCTGAGAGGTTTAGCAGTTCTCGCTCAAAAACCTTGCAAAAGTGCGTCTTATCCACGTGCACTTGCCACTTCTTCAAAGATTCATTTATGCGCGATTCCAAGTCACTATTCAAAACTACATTCCGTACATGCTGGAGAGACGCAATGTTGTCGATCCCAAGTCTGAGAGCGAGCGAAGGTGTGCCGTCTGGGAATACAAAATCCTGATTTGTCACGATCCCAAGATCTGTTGATAATGAGTCTTTCACCAGGTCCACGAAGTTTTCGCGCCCAACTTCTGCAAGCATCGCCTGAATCAAATCTGCATGCCTAACCCGATCTGTAACAAAAATGTGCCACTTCGTTTGGGACTCTACGGTCCATTTTGCCTCCTCGGGCTTCTCTGGTATCCTCAAGGGAACATCGAGTAAAGTACCTCTGCACCACTGCTTGCCGTCCCACGCATCAACTTTAGCGCCAACTTTGAACTCTTCCTTCAGGAAATGGCTGACATCGACATGGTCATATTTCCAAGCCTCTCCTTGCTGCTGCCTCATCTGCTCCAAGTATGCGATTTCGCACTTTTGGCTCCCACCGCAGCCAACTCCATCCCAAAGATTCACTCTGTTCAAATCCTCAAAAGAAACTATACCTTTGCCAGTCTGCGCAGGGAAAAACACTACCTTGAGACGTTGCTTCAACCTCACGGCTTCGGCCACCTGCTTCTTCCACGTGTGGAACCATTCGCATCCCCAGGAGGCAACTCTGCCACTGTCCTCCCAAGCTTGTCGTGCTTTCTCTTCAGCTTCTTGTTTGTCTTTGTCGCTGGCATCTGATCGAACCACAACAGTCTTCGTGGCTGTCGCCTTCTCTACCTCAATCTTCTCCTCTGCTTCGCTACAAGATGCTGGCAGCTCTTTCAAGTAACCGAAAGTCTTGAAGTCCCGCTGCCCATAAATTGTGGGGCAATAGCACTGGCCACCAAATTCTTCATGCTTTCCAAGGCCGTCAGCTGGAGTGCAGAGGAATACGCACGCCACGGATTGTCCGTGACGTTCCTTGATCAATGCATCCCAACCGGCTGCATATTTTCCAGGAAAGGACACGTAGCAGTCCACACCTTCTTCCTCCTTGATGTGGCCGTGGTAGGGGATGTCGGCCGTTTTCTCCAGGATGGCAGGCTTGTCTCGCAACGTGAAGTACAGATGAGGTTCTTGAACGTCAACCTATCCAACAGGGTGAAAGTTTCGCTGCTCATACAGCTGTGGTTCAGGTGTAACTTGCTTGTGACTGTTGTGCACTGAGAAGAATTCCAATTTCAGGTACTGGAAAATAAGAATTCTCTAACAGCAGGATGTCCCTGATCGAAAACTACTTTCGATAATTCGGACTCGATCTCTCGAAATCTTCTGTCTATAATTTTCTGTTGTTCTTCTGTTTCGCCTGTTTCGCATAATATGCTGCAAAAGTTTTACGCATCTGCTCAAGCGAAGTCTATTTGATGGCACCTGTGGCAAACGATGTTCTGGTTCTTGAACGTTTTGTGCTGCAGCAGCATCTGCTTGAGGAAACGAGCGGACCTGTAAACATTGATGAGTCCTTCTTCGTGCTTGGGGTCTGAAGTATGTCTAAAGTATTCTAAAGTATTACATTATATTAGCTACGTTTGAGAACGTTCCAGTGTCCAGATCGCATCATAAGACAGACTGACATAACAGAGGACACATGGCAAATATCATACTGTGGAGTCATTGGTGCAACCAGTGTACCTCGGGTTCGGAACAAGTCTTAGAATGATTTAGAATGTCTTCTGTATGGCACCTCTTCTTGGAGTTGCGCAACCTCTTCTCGGAGCCTCTGCGACTCATTAGCTTCGGCCTTCCAGACTCAATCCAGCACGACAGAAGATACAGAAGATGTGGGATCCCGGATGCCTAGTTGGATGTGTGACTGATGTGCAGGATCTTTGAGTATGGCATAGTATGGCATGTATTTTCTACAATTCAGTTCTGTGACATCTGCAGTCAACAATCTGCCGATCTCTGACGATCTCTGACGGTCTCTGGCGATCTCTGACGATCTCTGGCGATCTCTGACGATCTCTGGCGATCTCTGACGATCTCTGACGATCTCATGGGATTCATTCGAACGTATGGTGCCTCTTCGTTCAGTTGCGCCACCTCTTGGAGTTTCTCTGAGTCGAGGGATCCGGCCTTCCAGACTCGAGCACAGCTGGATGCGGATCTTTGCAAATGTCAATGCTGCGACATGCTGCGACCAACCCTCCCATCTTCAACCACCGCTGTCAATGTTTGCAAACATCATTTCATGACACAGAAATGGGTTCAAACAACTCGCGCTACAGTATTTGGAATCAGGCAGAGTGCAAGAAAATTCTTGCTGCTTCATTGCGGTATCAGCTGCTTCGAAACCTGCTTCGCACAGGTAGCCACAACAATGGCCTGCAGCTCCTCCACTCTTCTCTCTGCGACCTTGCCATTGTACCAGATGCAGCTTCTGTCAGCAACCCAAAACTTCTGATGCAAGTTGCACCTTGAATCCAGAGCAACCTGGGTTCCACATGAAGTTGCATGCTAGAAGAAAAGAATGACACGTCCTGCTACAGCAAGCCCGCAGTTCAAGCTTGCAGAACTGACTTTGTTTTTGTGTGGCAGCATTTCTTCAAATATGTACTGGAAACATCTGGGAAAGGTTGATATCAAGCCTTAAATTGGACTGTTCCGACACAGAAGGCTACATGGTGAGCTCCTTGGTCAACAGGAATTAACAATATTTAATCGCTTAGCCAACTTAGCCAACTTGGCCAACTACACCATCACAGGATAAATTGGATAAATGCTTGCGGAATCTTGCCTGTGCAAGGGCGGTCTCCACTGCGGCCTGGAAAAATCAGCATGGTGAGGGGCATGGTGAAGCGGTTGACACAACTGAAATCTACTTTCGATAATTCGGACTCGATCCTCTCGAAATCTTCTGTCTATAATTTTCTGTTGTTCTTCTGTTTCGCCTGTTTCGCATAATATGCTGCAAAAGTTTTACGCATCTGCTCAAGCGAAGTTTATTTGATGGCACCTGTGGCAAACGATTTTCTGGTTCTTGAACGTTTTGTGCTGCAGCAGCATCTGCTCGAGGAAACGAGCGGACCTGTAAACATTGATGAGTCCTTCTTCGTGCTTGGGGTCTGAAGTATGTCTAAGACTAAAGTATTCCAAAGTATTACATTGTATTAGCTACGTTTGAGAACGTTCTAGTGTCCAGATCGCATCATAAGACAGACTGACATAACAGAGGACACATGGCAAATATCATACTGTGGAGTCATTGGTGCAACCAGTGTACCTCGGGCTTGGAACAAGTCTTAGAATGTCTTCTGTATGGCACCTCTTCTTGGAGTTGCGCAACCTCTTCTCGGAGCCTCTGCGACTCATTAGCTTCGGCCTTCCAGACTCAATCCAGCACGACAGAAGATACAGAAGATGTGGGATCCCGGATGCCTAGTTGGATGTGTGACTGATGTGCAGGATCTTTGAGTATGGCATAGTATGGCATGTATTTTCTACAATTCAGTTCTGTGACATCTGCAGTCAACAATGTCTACAATCTTGTGACTTGGAAAGGCACCAGAAAGAATCTAGCATGCATGGACAATATTGACCACGCCTCTCGCAATCTTTCTAGTTCTTCAATGCGCCGAGCTGCAGCAGCTTCAGCTTGACGCAATGAGCGAACCTACAACACCCACGCTACCAACGAGTCCTTCTTTGTTCAGGAAAACATGGCAAAACAATCTGACCAACAAATCCAACAAAGTACACGTTGCAGAAACGAGTCTCACGATCTCTGACGATCTCTGACGATCTCATGGGATTCATTCGGACGTATGGTGCCTCTTCGTTCAGTTGCGCCACCTCTTGGAGTTTCTCTGAGTCGAGGGATCCGGCCTTCCAGACTCGAGCACAGCTGGATGCGGATCTTTGCAAATGTCAATGCTGCGACATGCTGCGACCAACCCTCCCATCTTCAACCACCGCTGTCAATGTTTTCAAACATGAAATGACACAGAAATGGGTTCAAACAACTCGCGCTACAGTATTTGGAATCAGGCAGTGTTAAGGTTTGAAGTGCAAGAAAAAACTTGCTGGTTCATTGCGGTTTAGCTGCGTTGAAACCTGCTTCGCACACTGCACACGTAGCCAAAAAAAATTGCCTGCAGCTCCTCCACTCTTCTCCCTGCGACCTTGCCATTGTACAAAATGCAGCTTCTGCCAGCAACCCAAGACTTCTGATGCAAGTTGCACCTTGAATCCAGAGCAAACTGGGTTCCACAAGAAGTTGCATGCTAGAAGAAAAGAATGACACGTCCTGCTACAGCAAGCCCGCAGTTCAAGTTTGCAGAACTGACTTTGTTTTTGTGTGGCAGCATTTCTTCAAATGTGTACTGGAAACATCTGGGAAAGGTTGATATCAAGCCTTAAATTGGACTGTTCCGACACAGAAGGCCACATGGTGAGCTCCTTGATCAACAGGATTTTACCATATTTATGCGGAGAATGGTCTACTGCTGAAGGGCACACTCAAACCGGAACACTGCAGCCGTTTTCTGGCCACTGCGCTGTAGCTACGCGTTTCGTCCTCTGTGGGACTCGTTCAGGCCGCGCTTGTAGCCAAAAAGGGCTTTGAAACGTATGCCAAATGTCTAGCAAGCTCCAAAAAGCATGCGCAACACTTGGCAAAAACAGCATGGTTTGTGCGCTTAAAAAACCAGAACCCACCTCCCACCACATCTGGTTGCGCAAAGTGCAAAAAGCGGAAGTCAAAGTGGTTAGTGCCAATTCAAACTGAAATTTCTCCTGAAATTGTTGCATTGGATGCTATAGGAAAGAAAAACTTCTACACGAGAAGTGAACCTAGACTGCACAAGAGACGCGTGTTTTTTCAAAACACGTTTTATGACTGAGACGTTCAAAGAAGAACTGTACTGCTGGCGGAAAAAGAACTTTCGTGGTTGCTGCTGACTGGCTGTCGGGCATTCTAGTTTCTTGACAGTTTGCATGGCAAGGCGTCGTGCCTCCTCTTTGCAGTAGCCTCTGTGTTGCAGTTTGTCAAAAAACAGGTCTAGGTGCTTGGCAAAAGCTTTGGCATCCTTTCGGTTTGTTCTGTGTAGCCTCTGCGTCTCACCAATCACCAAAGCTTTGAACACACTGGGTGGGTGACATGAAGTCCGTGGCAAGTACAAGTATGCGTTCTGCGGCTTTCGGAAAGTCTCAAAAGAAATGGAATGATCTCCCATGTGCAGTGTCAAACTAAGATCCAGGAAATTCACTGCCATACCGGAACCGGACATCTCCCGAACGATGTTCGGATGCCAGATGTTGAGTTCTTGAAGACACTCGTCTTTTGAGTCCAGAGGAAATATTGCAAAAGCATCATCTATGTAACGCTTCCACATGAAAATCCAGGAACATCTCTGAACAAGAAAATCGTCAAAAGCAGCAAGGTACAAGTTGGCAAACACGACGGAGGCTTGCAATGGTGGTATCATCGGCATGCCAGTTGGCATTCCTTGTTGTGGCATCATCATAGCCGGGTGCTGCATCAACGGTGTCATCATTGGAACGCCCGGGCCTAACATAGGCATCCCTTGCGGCTGCAACAGTTGCTGTGGCATCTGTTGTGTCATCATGGGTATCCCCTGCTGCTGCATCATCTGTGGTAGTCCTTGTGCTTGTGCTCCAGCACCATGAGGGGACCCACCAGGTGGTGGCATATGAAAGCCAGGCGCAGCCTGTTGCTTCATCATCGGGATTGTAGAACTGGCGGAGCTTCCGGCCGGTGGTAGGGCGCTGCCCTGCATCGGCGGCGCAGCCGCTGTGGTTCTCGGCGCTGCCGAGTCTTCGTCCCATGCTGGAACAGGGACATTCATGGCCCAGGCTCGGGCTCCGCTACCAATGCGGAGAATGGGGGGTAGCTCCCCAACTAAAATGAAATAGCACAGCAACTACTCGGCAGCGGCCGGCAATCTTCTTTTTAGCGCGATTTGAACTGTCGACAGCTGCGGTCACAGCGGCCAATGAAACATGCCAAAAACGTGCACCAAGCAGCCAAACTCACATCCCAAAGGGAGAGTGTTGGCATGTTGAATTAGCCTCTGGCGCTGCCAGTAGCAGAGGTCCCGGTGCTACCGGATTTGGCTTTGCCAAATTTGACCTTGCGGCGCTGCCGCTGTTGCCTTCTCAAGCTCTGCCTGTGTTCCTCGAGAGCTCGCTCTTCCGGCGTCTCTTTCAAGGACAGGGTGTTCTCCTTGCAGAACTTGTCCCATAGGATGGCTTTCATCCTCTTGGTGAGCATATCAGCCATTTGGCGATGGGTCGGAACCCAATAGGTTTCAAAGATCTTCTGGCTCATCATATCCTTGGCCACAAGGAGATCAAGCATAGTTTGACGCTCCGAAGGAATAAGCGTCGTCTGGAGATGATCCCACAAGGATCGAGCATCTGTCACGAGGCCTCCTCCAAAACGTAGATGCTTGCGCCATTCCTCCTTGATCTCAATCTCTCCTGTCCATAGGATATCCAGCAGGATTCTCAGGTAGAGATGCCGGTCCACAGTCAGGGACATCGCATTGCTCTCCGCGGCCATGGAACTCCTCACCACCCGCGTAGAACGCGATGAGTGGTATTCAATTGGCGCAGCCAAAGCAGGTCCTTGCTTGACAGCTTCAGTTGTCAAAAAGTGGATTCCACCAAGCTGCGAGCGACCGTCTTCTTCTTTTCCAAGAGAGGCATCGAAAAAGCTCAGAAGGTATGGCTTACCTTTCTGTCGGGGATAATAGAGAGATCCCCTCTCGGCTTCTACCTCCTCTAGGAAACTTCCATGGAGTTTGACCGCTTCTTTGAAGTCATCATAGGTGGCTCTGTTCACCTTTTGGGCCAAGGCACTGACCTCGTAGAGCTTTTGTGGCATGGCCTGCTGGGCCGGCCAGCGTAGACGCATCGTCAGTTGCCTGAACCGCGTCACATCTTCCGGTTCCAGTGGCTCTGCACCTTTCTTCTTTTCAGCTTCTGGAATCTTGATCCCATGCACGTAGGAGCTCATGTCGTCATAAATTCCTGGTTTCTTTCCTGTCTTGATATCTACCCCCAGGAATGTCACTGGCATTTGACGCCACTCCTTGATCTTGAACAGCTTGTTCAGGTCATCCTTGAGCTTCAAATATCGAGCGTCTTGTGGATGTCCCAGCAGCAATCCATCATCAACGTGCAGACACAAGATTGCATACGTCTCCCCTCGCTCCGAGGCTACAAATGTAGCTTTTGCAGCTGGAACTTCACGAAGGGATGTCTGGTGGATCAACTGCACTGCACGAAGGTACCATAACCTCGGTGCTTCTGCCAGACCGTATGCTGATTTCATAATCCTCAGCAGTTCATAGGGTAGGACCTGTGACCAACCATCAGTTGCCGGCAATCCATCAGGCGGGGCTTTGGCATAAATCTCACGTTCCGTTGCCAGGCCACTCAGAAAAGCTGTGGTCACGTCAAAAACCCAGATGATCCAATCTCGAAACTGCGCCACCGCTTTGGCCATTCTTACTGCCACCAGTCCTGTTGTTGGACTGTCGGTTCTGAACATTCCAAGTCCAGGGTCGGTATGTCCCGGTAGCACCAGGCGGCTCTTTGCCAGAACAGGCAAAAGCCCCTTTTGCTGTTTATTGGTCCTAACCATCCTCATTGGTGTCCTGAAAACTGTGTCTGGCGAGACCTTCTTCCGCTCTTCAGGTGTGAGCCTCCTCACCACACCATTCTGGATCCACTGTGACCATTCCTTCCGGTCACTCTCCTCGTAGAGCTTCTTTTCCTCATTGTCGAAAAACTTAGGATCCAATTCCTTTCCAGATTTCTTCATCTTTAACAGCATCACCTCACTCAGCAGGATATCTTTTAATTCAGCCAGCCATTCCTTTTCAAAGGCTTTGCGCTGCCGAGAGCTCCATTGCACCCCATAGATATCCCCATCCTTTTCCACATAGCTCTTCACTGCTCCCCGTCTTCTCTTGGGGTCTTTCGGCATCTCCTTGTAATACATGGAGATTCCACGCCAGGGAAAACTGGCACACCTACGTGGATCTCTTCCACTTCCTGAGTGTTTTCCTCTACCACGAAAGCATCTCTCGGATCCTGGCCAATCAGGATCGTCAGCTTTGGTGGTCTAGCCATCTTCTTTCTGGGTTGGCGATGCAGTCTTGCGGAAGTCAAAGGCAGACCAGTCAACTCCCGGAGTAAAGCCAATTCATACTGACTCACCCATTCATTGGCTCGGCCATTCTCCTCATAAAGTGTTCCAAGCATCACCTGTGCAACGAGAGCTTCTGTAACTCTTGCCCTCTTACTGTGAGGAGCTTCCTCGTCAATCTCAGCATGCAGTCGCTTCTTGATAGTCACGGGTACGTCATCTAATGCTAGGCGCTGCCTTTCCTCAGGTGTCAGGCGCTGCCTTCTTCTTCCAATCAGTTCCCTTTGGAAATCATCATCGTTCGGCGCTGCCGGTGTATTGGGCTCATCATCTGAATCAGATCCGATGGGAACATCTTCTTCTCGTACAGGTACTGGCTCTGCCAGAGATCGACCTGATGCTGACTCTGCCGGCGCTCCATCTGTTTCCACAGCTGTCTCCTGTCGTTCTTCATCTTCTCCTGGTTGATGGACTTCACCGTCTTCTAACGCCAGCTGTCTTCTCCGTCGTTTAGCTTGCACAGGTTCTGGCGCAGCCAGTGCAGGTTGTTCTGGCTCAGCCAGGGCCCGTTGCGGTCGTTCCTCGGCAGCTGCCGGTGCTGATGCTACTGGACGCTTTCTCTGTCTCGGCATCATTTGGATTGCACGACGTTGAGGGTCTCGGATTATGTTCCTGACCGTCTTGGTGCCTCTCATCATCAGCCTGGCCTTTCTCTGATCCCCAGGTTCCGGAGGTTGCTCTTTCCTGGGTCTCCTTGGTCGTAAAGGCCTTCTCGGAGGTGGTGGACCCTTCGGTCTCAAGTCCCGATAGAGGTTGGGAACTCCTCCATCTCTCAAGGCTTCACCAACATCATCCATATCCTCTCGGATAGTCTCGTTGAGAGCCAACTCCTCCTTGGTGGAGAGCCTGAGGTTCTCCTCGGCAACCAGTAGAAACCTTCCTCTCCAGCTGACGAAATATCTCTTGTTCTTTTCCCGCACCAAAACTGTTGCAGGACCACGCCATTCACCTCCTTTCCGATATCTCACTCCCTTTTGATTACTGGGCACCCAGAAGAATACTTGAGCACCTGGGACAAATGGTGCGCTCTGCGACACCGCTGGCTTTCGCAGGACAGATCTGCGAACCTTTTCCTTCCCATCTTGCCTGATCAAGGCAATCCTTGCCGTAGTCCGCATCCTGTGGGCTCGAGAAACTTCACTATCCACAGCGATTCCTTCTGCAAAGGAGAGCTTCACTTCCTCATCAGTGAGGCTTGGCCACTTCACCTCAACTCCAAAGACCCTTTGGTTTGGAGTATATCCGTCCTTGGTGATCGTGGAATTCTTGGCGGCCACTGCGGCGGCAAGTCCTTCCTTGACTTGGTGGTATCCTTCAAGACTGTGTTCATGAACAACCGCTTGCACCAAGTCTCCTAGCAGTCCTCCGTGGCGTTCGCCTGCTCCAAGTTGCCAGCCAGCATGTGCTGCCGTGACGTCTGATGGTACAGCCATCTGCTCAAGGTAGAGAGCAAAGGTTTTCTCGAACTCTCCTCCTTGGTCATGGCTTATCTTGCCTGGTGGCCCATAGCTAGACACCCAATGGCGAAAGAACTCCTGAGCCACATAGGTGCTTCTTTTGCTTTTCAGCATCACTGCATCGTGTTTGACCGTTCCTAGGTCCAGGATGCTCAGGCATGCATACTTCTTCTTTCGCACATCGTAGACGTACTTGATGTCGACGTGGATATGTTGATTGAATCCATATGGCCTCACAGAAGGAGCTGCAGCTTGTGGATGCTTTGGTGCTGCTCTCTCAGCACACACCGGACACTGCCACTGTCTGGCATGCTTCACGGCATCATCTTTCATCTCCGTCAAATCCACCTCGTCCTTCTGTAACGCCTCATCCAAGATCTCTTCCTCCTCATGGATGGCGTCCTCACCATCAATCATGTCTCCATCTGAGATCGCGTGTTCGTCACCTTGGTCTTCAACATAGACCGAGCTTCTTCCTCTGTAGTAGCTCTCAAATCCATCGACGATGGCATGGCATAAAGCAACCGGGTATCCTCCAGCCCATTCAGATAGTGCTTGCCATTTGCCATCTTCTCCTCTGAACTTCCCCTCAATAGGCCAATGCTCATGGTCTTGAGAGCAAGTCCTTCTCAGTGGTGCCACCACTTCTTGCTGCCCCATGAAGCGAGTCCTCTTCTTCATGGCATACTTTGTAACTGGGTGTTTCAAACCAAATTGACACTGGTCGGCAACCGCCTCTGAACAGCCTTGAAATGCATCAAGCACTTCTGGCGTTTTCCAGGCCCTCGATGGATGAGGATTTTCTCCAATCACTGCCTTTCCTCTTCTTCTCTGCCACAGCACCACGCGCCGTGTAAAGGATAGCAGTGTCCTCCTGGCTTCCATCTGCTTCCTCTTCAGTGCTCGCCTCTGCTGAGGGGTCTTCATGTTCAGGTTCTGAAGGGGGGACCATGGTCCACACGGCCAAGCAATGACTATTGCATCAGGATCGATGCGTTCCAGGTAGCGCATAGCTTCAGCTTGGGTGCTCTCCTGAGCTAAATCCCAACCCGGCAAAGTCACGGGTTCAAAAGTCTCCCAGCCTCGTGAGAATGCCACCTGGGTCACCATGCACGACCAGGTAAAGATTTCAATCAGTTTCAGTGCACCTTTGGGTCTCAGGCTCTGCCTCACTCGGGGCGCTCTCACTTTTGCCTCTGCACTCGCAACTTCCCCGATCTCTTTGGACGCTGCCAGAAGTCTTCTCCTTTGACCCTTTGTGAGGTGCTCCTCATCGGCGCAGCCGGCATCCGCGACCAAAATGGTCTCCAGATTTTCACCCTCCTCTTCACTGCTGGTCTCCGTTGAGGTGTCTGACCTGACATCATTGGCATCTTCTTCTGAGATAGACTGGGTGCCCGAGGGGGTTCCTGCAGAAGTGTCTTCCCCCGAACTAGACTCGGCTGCCCTTCGGAAAGCTTCCGGTGGCAATCCAAGTTCATCCCACTTTCGGATGGCTTCTTCTTCCATAGATTCCTGCCAATGCGCTGCAGCCACATCAAACTCCTCATCCGCAGCTTGAAGGAGGTCCTCAATCGGCTCAGTTGATCCTTCGCTGGAGGTCTCAATCCTCAACTTTTCCAAGTCCTCCACAGCAATCTCATCCACCTGTTCCTGAAGGAGAGCCATGCTGTAGGGATCTCTCTCCAGCTTTTCACGCAGTTCCACTGCTTCCTTGGTTTCCCACATAGCCCTTGTCGAACCTTCCGGTGGTAGGACATTCAACACTGGATGTCGTGATGAAGACAACCTGAGCTTCTGCCACTCACCATTGCCGATGGAGATGCTCTGTTTGGCAAAATCCATACGCACTCCCCACCTGGCTAGTTCTGAAGGGCCGGCCAATGCTGGGCAATCTGCAACTCGAGGGTCTTTCTCTGACTCGACCACGGCTAGTCTCATCCAACTCTTCAAACCTCCCACGCGTACTGGGTATACGAGATGAGCCTCCACTGACAAAATTGGTCGGCCAGCTCCAAAACGAAAAACCTCTTCGTGCTCCACCGTGTTCCACATCAAATTGCGCTTCCGGAGCCAAGCTTGATACCGCTGGTGCCACTTGCTACCAGCCACGGCTGTTCTGCAGCCGGTATCAAGTATCAGGTCCATTGTGGTGGGCATATCTTCCTGATTTTGATCCGCCACCAGGCTCCCGTGCATCCTGCTCTAATACAGCACCTTTTTCAACTTGCACCCTGTGCAATCGGCCCAGTGTGCAGATCCATTGGCTCCCCACTTCAAAAACGTGTAGTCGTGAGGGCATTGGTCTTGTGCTCCCGTTGGCACGTCTGATGCCTCCGACAACCGCACTCGCCCTTTTGAAGCAAGTGCGTTCTGGTAGAGCTGTCTGCGAAACTCCTCCAGCCTCTTCTTCTTGACGGCTAGTGGAACGTCATCCGTCGGAGGCTCACTTCCAGCCCCACTGGCTGCTGACGAGGGCGCTGCCCGTGATTTACTGGACGCTGCCAGAGATCGTGCCGGCTCAGCCGGATATCCACCCTTGTGTCTGGGCTTCGGAAATTCCTCCAGGCTCGGCACATGACGTGCGGCTTCCTCCTCTTCATCTGCCAGAAGCTGCTTCAAGAGCGCCCTCTTCTCATCCTTGGTCAGATGCGGTAGGATGGCCAGCAATTCCGGTGCATCCACGCTCATGGCATCATCCTCTTTCCTCTTACTTTTCTTGTGGCGTCGCTGCGCCCGCTTCAGCTTCTTTCTCTCGTCCTCATCTTCAATGATCCCTTCCAAGGCCTTCAGGACGGCCTTCAGCTTCACCTTGGTGCGTTTCACGGGATCCCCTGCCGCTGAAGATTTCTCTGGAGTCAGCGCCCGATAAAGCGGATCTTCCGGTGGCTTCTCCTCTTCATCCTCTGAGCTCGACACCTCTGAGTCACTTGGGTACTCTTGCACCAAGTCCCAGCCGCTGGAGGTCATGAAAGTCCAATTCACCCTGCTCACATGGATGCTCTTGGAACCACCTCCTCGGTCTGGGGAATCTTCCTCCTCCGGCTTCTCCTTCTTGAGGCTCACTGTCTGAGAAAAGAGCGTATCCTGCTCCTGCTTGGCCCCAGGTTGCTTTCGTTCGGGGAACTCACCGCTCTTGACCTTGGCACATTGAGGATCACCTTTCCAGTGCCCATACTTGCCACAAACGGCACATTTGGAAGCCTTCTTTCGATCTTCGATGCGGCGGTGATCAGGAGGTCGCTCCTTCTGCTTACCCTTCCGGCCTTTTCCTCCTTGACCCTTATAGCCTCGGCCTTTTCTCATCTCAGCACTCTGCTGTCGAGCCTTCCATCCAGCTGTGTATGCTTCTCGAAGATCATTCATTTCCCATTCTTCTTCTTCCTCTTCGGTGTCTCCTCCCCAATCCGCTTCAAACCCATCACCCCCGTGATAGTCACGGACATCTGCTGGATACGCCTCCTGCTCGAGGTCCTCATTGTCCAGCTCATCATCGTCTTCTTCCTCCTGGAAGCTTTCTTCAGGGTCCACCTCGTCTTCAGGCTCTGCCTCTGTGAGATGGGCATCGTGCCTCTTCTTCCGCCATACGCCTGTCCTTGCGCTTGCTTTGGAGTAAACCTTCCGAGGTTTGCTCTTGAGATCTGCATGTGACTTGCCGTACCGGTACTTCTCCACTTCTTCGGTGTGCAAAGTAGCACACCTAAAACGGAGCACCTTTTCGATCTGCTCTGTCCGGTATCTGCCACCCGCAGCGAAAAAGATCTCTGTCCTTTCTTTCTTGGACAAGCCAGCACGCGTCAAAAGACGCTGGGCATAGGCACGGTCGCTGATGCGAGTATCCGTATCTTCCTTCAAATACTCACCTTTTAGTCTCTTCAGCTTTGCTATATAGGCTGACATGGCCATGCCATGAGGCCTTCGGAATGTCATGAACTCTTCCTGCTTCTGCTCGAAGCGCTCGTCCGCCTGCTTCTCATAGGTGTCATCGAGGAGCTTCATCACTCGGGCGAAACCAGCTTCTTCCTGGCGTTCAGTGACTTCCAGTTGGTTGACGATGTCTCTTGCTTCGCCTGCTGTGGAGAGGTATACCAGGGCAGCCATTTCAGGTTCTGAAAGCTTGTAGAGCCCTCTCTGCACCTGAAGTGTCTTCTTCCAGTCCCGATACGTAGATCGAGATCCACGGAACATCTCCACCTTGACCTGGGACAGTGCACTACGTGCTCCTCCTACTTTGTCCCCTGCTGAAGACTGCTTCAAGTTCCTGGCGAGGATGTCCCTGATGGCATCAGTGTTGCCACTGCCCTCCGATGGTGGAGCGCTGCTCCCCTGATCTTCTCTGGCGCCGCCAGCGGGCGTTGCCCGGGACTTTGTCGCAGTCCTCTTCGGCTCTGCCGGTCTTGTTTCTTCCCGCTTCTTCTTTGGCAATGGTGGTCTGGCATCACCCGCATTGGATGGTTCCCTTGATGGCATGGCTGAAGACCTGTATGTTGGGTCATTGGTCATGGTCTCCTCTTCCCCATGCTCATCCTCCTCCTCCTCATACGTATATGAGTACTGACTTCCGTCACCATCATCATCATCATCGGGTGGATCCTCATCGAAGTCATCTGGAACCTCTTCCTTCTTGACGGGTTTCTTGGCCAGTGGCTTCGGAAGCTTCCGTGGTCCATCTCGCCCTTTTCCATCACCTTTGGAAGTACCTTTCACCTGTCCATGCTCTTTGCCGCCTTTGCCCTTCTCGAGGCCCTTGTCATGGCCCTTGTCCGTGTCTGCCACAATCCATGATCCAGAGCTCGTAGATGCCCTCATGTCCTGTGGCGGCCACCAACCTTGCAGAGACGTCATCGATCCTGTCATCATTGCAGGGTTCATCATCTGCTGCAATGGTGGTATCATCGGCATGCCAGTTGGCATTCCTTGTTGTGGCATCATCATAGCCGGGTGCTGCATCAACGGTGTCATCATTGGAACGCCCGGGCCTAACATAGGCATCCCTTGCGGCTGCAACAGTTGCTGTGGCATCTGTTGTGTCATCATGGGTATCCCGTGCTGCTGCATCATCTGTGGTAGTCCTTGTGCTTGTGCTCCAGCACCATGAGGGGACCCACCAGGTGGTGGCATATGAAAGCCAGGCGCAGCCTGTTGCTTCATCATCGGGATTGTAGAACTGGCGGAGCTTCCGGCCGGTGGTAGGGCGCTGCCCTGCATCGGCGGCGCAGCCGCTGTGGTTCTCGGCGCTGCCGAGTCTTCGTCCCATGCTGGAACAGGGACATTCATGGCCCAGGCTCGGGCTCCGCTACCAATGCGGAGAATGGGGGGTAGCTCCCCAACTAAAATGAAATAGCACAGCAACTACTCGGCAGCGGCCGGCAATCTTCTTTTTAGCGCGATTTGAACTGTCGACAGCTGCGGTCACAGCGGCCAATGAAACATGCCAAAAACGTGCACCAAGCAGCCAAACTCACAATTTAATCGCTTAGCCAACTTAGCCAACTTGGCCAACTACATCATCACAGGATAAATTGGATAAATGCTTGCGGAATCTTGCCTGTGCAAGGGCGGTCTCCACTGCGGCCTGGAAAAATCATGGAGCATGGTGAAGGGCATGGTGAAGCGGTTGGCACAACTGAAATTGATGGATTTGATGCCCCATTTCCGACTCAGAAATGCATCTTTCTCACCCGACAAAAAAGATGCATTGTGCACATTCAATAATTTAGCAACATGCATCAACAGGATTTGTATGGATTTGTCAAACATTCACAACTCAGGGAAAGAAAAACGGATCCCAAGAGCCAAATTATCATTTCTCGGAGTTTTGTGCTGACGTTTGTGGATATAGGATTCCTAAAACAGATTGGGAACAATGAGGTTCAAATCATCAACATCCTGGAAGTTAAATCATATCTGTTTACGGGGGTCCTGTTAAGTTTGTTTGTTATCTCACCTCTCTGCATTGCACTCGCAGAATGGGCGCCTCTGGGAATTGCGCTTGTGCCTCGTCGAGGAGTCTCTCTGCCTCTTCAGCTCCGGCCTTCCAAACTGGACCAAGCACAACTCAAAACATGGGAGTTTTGGAGATGCCGCTGCTGTGACGTATGATGACGTATGTCAAATCATATCAAATGCACTCCAAATGAAATCGAAATTGCAATACGTGTCCATGTTTGCAGACAAACTCTTATCATTGGAAGAAAAGCTGTGCAGGCCAGCTGCTAAATACTATTGGCTACTCGCATCTAAATCTGCTTCGCACGGGTAGCAAAAAGCCGCGCCTGCAGCTCCTCCACTCTTCTCCTAAGACTCGGGACCTTGCAAGGCACACTCAACACACCCCTTAAACCTCTGGCACAATTTCCGCCTTGGATCGACAGGAAATGTCCGTTTGGCATCAAGTTGCGCTGGAAGACAAGTCAAAATATGTCAAAATATAACTGTATCTTCCATACACTATTGTAGAAAAAAAACAGCCCGTCCAAAGTTACAAGCTTGCAGGGCTGGCTTTGACTGTGTGCGAATGCATAAATTTGTTCTGATTGTCGGTCGTTCAAACGAGTTTGGACGACCTTTGCTGGATACTGGGGAAAAAACATTTCTCTCCAAACTGACGGTGAGATACAATAGTTGCTATGGCTGCTATTAGGTGTGAGATGTTCGTGAATCTTCATTTCAGTGGTGATATCATGGATAAACCATTTCAAATCGATCCCAAACTTTCCCCGGCCGTCTCGAAATCTCACCTGGGCGAGGCCGCCAGCCACAAAGGCATCGACATCTGCAGCCTCTGAGGCATCGGCATGGTGAGTTCCATGGATTTATCTTTGAAGCTCAAGGACCAAAGGCCGGTCAACCGCATTTTTTTGGGAAGAAAACCCAAACAACCGCCTCAGCATGTGCCAGGGGGTTATGAGGTTGGGCATTTCGGGACATTTTTTGGGGTAGCAACGCTTTCTCCGCACGTCATGCTTGCAGAAAAAACATGTTTTAGGTCTTGCTGATCTTGTTGTCATTGCTCCGGGTGTGCTCTTTACAGCGCATTTCTTGTCCACGGCCTCCTCGGCTGTCAGCTGGAACTGAACCGAGCCACCGCTGCCCATGGTGAGCCTGGGAGGCAGTCAACTGAAACGAGAAACTCCAGTGCCTTCATCTTCCTCCGACTTTGAGCTTCCTCCGGTGCCCTCCCGGAGTCCTGTCGAACTGAGGTTGAAAGCCCAAAGGCCCAAAGGCCCAAAGGCTCAAAGGCTCAAAGGCCTATGCGGAACCTCGGGATGTGAGGTGCAAAGACCACAACCAAAATGTTCAGGGTGAAACTGGACTCAGCAACATGAAACGCCAACAGAATGCTACCGCATCCAAAGCTGAGGCCAAGCACGGACAGGGTTGCAATGAATTCAGGAAGTGGCGGCAGCAGAAGGAAAAGAAAATGCCAATGACTTTGCAAAGGCACCGTTCCAAGGACTTTGAAATCTTTGTATGTAATCTCAGGCTCTGATTTAACCAATGCCACTTAGTGTAGCCAAGTTGCCATGCGTTCACAACTCAAGAATGTCTAAAGTCCTTGAGACCTACTGGTTTCCTGCACATGTTTTGCTGTGTTGAAGCTGCAAACTGCGCCATGTCAAGCAACATTCCAAGGGAAGTTGACCCCTACCTGCTCAAACTTGATCTCACAGCTTGCACTTGAGGACGGAGAGACCAAAACACTACAAGACCTGATAGGGTCAAACTTTTCCAGCACGTGCTTGCCAGCTGAACTCAAGCACAAAGCAGCTGTACATGATCTCTACGTCGGAGACCAAAGTCACGTTTCACACATCGCTTTTGTTGGCCACACACCACCAGCTCAGTGTTCCCTGGCTTGCCACGGCCATCAATGAACATCAATGAGCATCACACGTATCAAAAGTCTGGATTCCCAAAATGATTTAATGCTGCAAGTCTCATTCTGCGCCAGAATGATGACCACCGCTTCCCCCTATCCATTGATTCTACGAGTAGCAGAAGCCTCCTGCTGGACGAGCCTTCTGCCCCATCTTCAGAGCTGTATCCCGCGGCACCTGAGCAGGCTGCGGTGCAAATATCTTCCCCCACAGAATTTCCAAAGTGCGAGCTGCATCCGTTTCGCAGGTTTGGGCCCTACGATGTTCATCGATGTTTTCCTACGGTGTTTCAACGCCACGTGAGTTTCGCACCAAGTCCTGAGGGCCTTCTCTTTGAATTCTTCTTCGTTCTTCAGGCCTCTGGAGTATGTCATGAAGCATGGGCTGCTCCCTCGAACCAGGTTGAATATCCCCAGCAAAAGTTCCTTCATAGATTTCAGTGATGGGTTTCAACAATGTCTCAGATATTGTTGTTGTGTAAAATCCAGAGTATTGAAATCGGTGAGACGTCTATGACAAACATGGTGTCACCCCAAAGATCCATGAATGTGCTGGATAGCTCTCGGGTCCGTAGCTGAAGGGCAGCACTTTCGAACACAGATAATTACAACACAAAAAGGTACAAAAAGTATGACTAAGAGTGAAGACATATCTCAACCATTGGACATTCCCTCAAGCTGTTGTATCCCTGATGCTGTTGCCCGCTGAAACAACGATGCATCCACCCAACTTCATGCTGGCCCAAACATCGAGTTGTCAATTGTGAGTGTCAAAACTCATGGCATCCTACTGATTCCCAAATCGAGCAAACTACACGACTACACGGTGTACAGCGAAACCGCTGCTGTAGCTGTTTGATAGGCAACTGCAACAATTGCAAGAAGAACTTGAAGGGATTCTTCTTCCAGGAACTGATTAAACCAGGAAGCTTTGAATAAAAGCTCCAAGGGGTCCATGCTCCGATTGTTTTGCATAATTTGCCCATATTTGTTTCACTCTTTTTGTGGCCTTCACCCCCTTTCCATGGAACCAAAAAGGAGCAAATCCAGAGGCTTCACACAGATGTGTACGTTTGGATACTTTGGACACAGAATATGACAGAACGTGACAGAACTATAGGCATGCACCGTATGGAGTTTCCCTGCACATCTGTGTAAAAAGCACCGGACTGATTTGAATTCTGGATCCAATCACCACGATCCTGTGAAACCAATGTAAGCCTGTTGAATGTTTCGTCAGATGGGTAGCTTGAAATGAAAACGACCAGTGGCAGTGGACGAGTAATCCCTGTGTAACCATTGACAGCCATGGTCTCCAATTAGTCGACATCTAAGATTTCCTCAATGCCAAGGGTTGCCAAGCTTGAAAGAGGCATGGACTCGTTGTGACATGTTGTGACTAGCAGGTGCAACCAACCCCAAAACCAAAACTTCGGGCCTGCCTGTTCCGCATAAGTCCTGCAAGTCCAAAGGCATGGTCGCCGGCACACCTGTTGCGGGCCAAGCAACGTACCAAGGGCATCTTCTGGGATCCTATTAGACCCCAACATCCTGAACTCCAAAATGACAAACGTTTAGGACGGTCTTTTCCTTGTGCAAGGTGCCAAGTTTAGTTCTATTTCATGTTTCTGGATATTGGACGTCTCGTGGCATGTTCTGACTAAATTTGTTTTGAAAACCATGGCATCGGGAGTGCAAAATGAGGGGCTGCACCTGCTCTATGAATCCTTCTGTCCAGGGGCATCATGGCGAACTGTACAAAGTCCATGACGGAAATCTTCCAAAAAAAATCAATCGAAAATCCCAGTGACGATCCCCTGTTGTTCTATGATGTTCCAAATCTGTCGCCAACCCGTCTTGCAGAAATTAAATTATCAATATAGCTTTTTTGCTCATGTGCTCATATCATTCATGTCTCTTTTCAAACACTGCCAATGCGATCAAGAAGCTACTGCGAACCACCATAAAACACCCATCAAACCATCAGAAAAAGTATCAAACATATATAGGTGGTTTATAGTTCTCCCAATGCACCTTCGGATCGGAACTCAGCTTCTTGCATCATCCACAAAAGTTTCACCTGAGCAGGATTTTACTGCCCAATGCCCCTGGCGATGCTCCTATCACACAGTGACTCAATGGACGCAAACGTGAGGGCACGGGTGCCTGATTTGTCACACCCGTTTGGACTGCAAAATGGCTGGATTCAAAGCCCTCCATGATCTCAAAACCAATTGCACTCACTCAGCTTCTACTGTTAGCGGCAAAGCCAAGGAATGGGAATCGCACTTAGTGGTTAGCAGAGGTATATGTGTTCAAAACACGTACTTGCATCCACAGTGTGGAGCGCAGCCAACCTTTGTTGTTGTTCCACATCCCTCATACTGCATTAAAAAATATTAAAGATTGATGTGCCATACCATTCCATTCTGCAAAAACAAACAGGGAACTTATACCATGCATATGATTAGCTGGGAGTGAATGAAGAAAGTGTCAACCCCAGGTTTCAAATGTTGATCCAAACAACCCGGGTTGACTGTTTCTGGGGGGTGGTGCTTCGGGGACCCCAAACTAACATTGATGGATGCGTTTGTGGCTGTAACATCTGTAACCCAAATGGCAGCTCAAAACACATCGCACTGCGGATTCGATATGTTTCTGACTATAGTGGCTGCAAATCTATCAGCGTGGCATCTTCAAAAAATGGAAACCAAGGCGCATCGGCAGCTTCTTCCGCTGTTCAGGGCCACGACAGTCTGGCCAAGCAAGGACTCCAAAAAATGCAAATCATTCATGATTCATGATTGTTCCATCTCTGTCACTCTAAATCAGTCTTTACACATATGTATATATATATATATATATATTTATTTATTTATTTACTTATTTATTTATTTATTCATTTATTTATTTATCATTATTAAATATATATATATATATATCATTCTCTATGAACATGACATAAGCGTGGGGAGAAAAATCTGCACGTTCTCTCCCACAACCATCTGGTTGGCGGTTGTGCCACCGTCATCCCCACATCCACCGGTGCATCAGCCAATTTAGTGATGCATCATTTTCACATAGTATTGTCGGTGATAGTAGTTACATCCCTGTTCTTCTTGGCCACGTTGTTGATTATATCTCCTTTTACGTTCTGTCACAAAAAACACTGTTGATCAAAAAACCATGGAGTTGCAATCAGCAATCTGTTTAGGGGTTTTGGCATGTTTCAACACAGTAACATATGATAGTCAACCTTGAAACCACCCAAGCACCTTTTACTGGGATCCCAAGTATTGATAAGTATTGGACATTAACCTCGGCTCATCTCCAGGGGCGCTGGGACACAGTTTCGTGTTTTTCGTCGCAAAGCTGTACAATCGTCAAAGCGCGGCATGAGTCAAGACGGCTTTTCATCCTTTCACGGCTCCAAATGTCTCCAAGTGTGGAGTCAGTGTGTTGGGATAAGTCGGATAAGTGTTTTCCCATCCCACTTGTGTTTGTTAACCATGATTCTGCTGAGACTTCCCTGCTTTGAAGCGTGAAAGGCGTGAAAGTTTGTCACTCCCAAGGCACGGCTGCACATCTAATTGGCTTCTACGGCGCTGGGGAATGGTGTATGATGCGTATGGTGCATTGGTTCTGGTAAGTACAACCAGTGACTACTTGCAAACTTTCAGGGGTGCTCCAAACACCATCCCCACAGCAGAGCTCCCACTTATGCTACACCTCCTGGGTCATTTCACAAAGGCAGACTAGGGTCAAGTTCAACAGGGTCTTCTTTCCCCGCTGGCTCACTAGTCACCTGACTCCAAGTGGCGCTTCTTTGGCCTGGCTTTCGGTTCCACGCCCTGCTGGTCAAGCGCCATGGCATATTCATAGAACATTCGCGTCCGCAAGACCTTCGAGTTCACGTAGTAGGCCGGGTTGTTTTTCACAAAGTCCAGGTATCCTCATAAAGGTTTTGTTGGTCCACTGCTCAGAAGCTTTCTATGGGGGAAATCCACCAAAAGTTAAGCCAAAAGGCAAACAACAACCCAATTTATGATCGAATACCACCAAGTATCCTTCCTTGTTGTACACCGTCTGAAAGAATTGGCCCTTGTAGCGACCCGATGTCATCTTTTCCTTGTGGAACTTCTCTGGATGATCTTTGATCTGCTCAATCAGAGGCCTGCTGTCTTCTTTGTATTTCTCCCAGAGGTCCAGCCTCAATTTTACAGCCCAAAAGTGCGTCAAAAAGATCAACATTTTTGGCCCTCCACCCTTTCTGGAGAAGTCACAGTCACAACTGTCCCATTTGGGGCTTTTCCCTTGCTTGCTGATATACTTTCAGGATCTCTCGGTAAAACCCCCGAAAAATCACCACCAAATCCAAGTAGCAAGTTGATGGTGCCTCTTCTGGCAATGGAATTGGCAGTTCTGATGGACAGCTTTCGCGACGTGGGGTAGTATGACACACTTCCTCCAGTGTAGCATCTGTCAAAGCGTCCGCTCCTGCGCTTCACGGACTCATGAGTCTTGGTCAGGTGAAAGGATAAGGTGCTCGTCATTCCTTTCCCAGCCGGAGTCAGCTGTCCGCCCAAGAACTGCTGCACGAATCCATGCGCCACCTGAAAGAGTGGCCATAAACTCGTTCCACAACAATTTTCTATAGCTTACATCCCAAAAGCACAAAAAGAAACGAACCAAAGTTGTGTACCAGCCTGTTAATCAGCTTATTACTACACAAACTAAGATTCTTTTTGTCCCATTTCTTGGATGTTCAAAGTCCTACACGGCCCGTCCTCCTCAGGGATGTCGTCGAAGGTCGTCGTCTTCGACTCGCCAGGCGGACGTGATGCGCGGCCACCAGCCATGCCGATGACAGCGACGATCAACTGGTAGTATGGTGAATTCTGGATATATGTGTAGACTATATAGACGTGTATATAAATATATATCAATATATATATATATTATTATACTATTATATTGTTGCATGTAATATGTGTATAATATATGTATGTATGTATGTATGTATGTATGTATGTATGTATGTATGTATGTATGTATGTATGTATGTATGTATGTATGTCTGTCTGTCTGTATGTATGTACGTATGTATGTACGTATGTATGTATGTATGTATGTATATATATATATATGTGTGTGTGGGGATAATACTTTGTATGATCATATCCTGCCCCATTTTTGGACCTGGACCTATGATTATCAGGCCTGGTACTTAGAGACATTAAAGCTTTCCTTTCCGCCCTTGAGAGCAGAGAACTGCGACACTGATTGCTGAGCAATCAAATTGTTGCAAAAGCTGGAAGGGAGCACTCAACATGGAAATATGCTGTTCGCATCTCTTTTCAAACACTGCCAATGCGATCTAGAAGCTACTGCGAATCACCATAAAACACCCATCAAACCATCAGAAAAAGTATCAAACATCCAATGCACCTTCGGATCGGAACTCAGCCTCTTGCATCATCCACAAAAGTTTCACCTGAGCAGGATTTACTGCCCAATGCCCCTGGCGATGCTCCTATCACACAGTGACTCAATGGACGTAAACGTGTGGGCACGGGTGCCTGATTCGTCACACCGACTTGGACTGTAGAATGACCAAATTCAAAGCTCTGAATCCAAGGGTAAAGAAAGTAATTGCATCCACAGTGTGGAGCGCAGTCAACCTTTGTTGTTGTTCCAAATCCTTCATACTGCATTCAAGATTGATGTGCCATACCATTCCATTCTGCAAAAACAAACAGGGAACTTATACCATGCATATGATTAGTTGGGAGTGAATGAAGAAAGTGTCAACCCCAGAGTACCAATCCCAATTTTGTCACATAGGAAACATCGCTTTGCAAAGTTTTGCAAACAACCCGGGTTGACTGTTTCTGGGGGGTGATTTTTCGGGGGGGCAAAATAACATTGATGGATGCGTTTGTGGCTGTAACATCTGTAACCCAAATGGCAACTCAAAACGCATCTCACTGCGGATTCGACATGTTTGCAGACGTGCTTGGACATGGTGGCTGCAGTTATATCAGCGTGGCATCTTCAAAAAATGGAAGCCAAGGCGCATCGGCAGCTTCTTCCGCTGTTCAGGGCCACGACAGTCTGGCCAAGCAAAGACTCCAAATGTTGTATATCAGTCAGCGTTATAGATATATATTGTATCAAATTTGTATCATATCATTCCAAAATATTCCAAACAATTCATTGCAAGTCTACATCCAACTGCAACCACTGCATCAAATTCAAGCTTAATTAACGGCCTAAAGTTGGCGATATCGACCCTGATCGAAACTTCCAAGCATAAACAGCGACATATGGCGACACAGGTGGCAAGAAAAAGCTCGCCTGGTCTCGCCTGCAGCTGATTCAGGACCTCGCAAAGTACAGACCAACAAAATTCGGAGAAATAATCAACACCTTTGGACTGGATAGACAGAAAATGTATGAACATGTGGGGTCTTCAACCCAACATGCGACAGAGCTACAAGATGTTTCAAGCCTGCAACGTTGACTTTGCCTATGGTAACTGATGGTGACAGAATCTGTGAAAATTGGACGTGGTTCAAACAAGCTGGAACAAGCTAGGGTGCAAAGAAGATATCCAATTCGATTCCCGAAATTTGCAATTGGACCGTAGATACCTGGCCAAATAGATGGGATTTCATTGGATTTCATTGGTCAAGAGGATGATCTGTTTCATTGCAATCTCTCAACAGAGCCCACCAAGATCTCACCTGGGAAGCCTCCAACCAGAAAGGCGCCACAGCGGCCTCGCAGCTGGTTGCCAGGTTGGCACATGTTGTCAGGTTGGTACTCCATCAAGGTTTCGCAATCAAAAAAAAATGTCAGTTCTGATATGTCTGCATCTGGAAATGTGTCACGTTGGCTTTTCAGCTCTCCTGGTCATCGCACCTAGTTTTCTATGAGTCAACAGCCCTCAACAGCCCCGACGGCAGTCACTGTCTGATTCGAGCGGCCGCAACAAATGACCAGGGACATCAAGGCAGGACATGAAGGCAGTCAGCTGCCTGGGAGAAAACAAGGTGTCTTGCGCGTCTCCAGTAATGTGTACCTGATGGATTCTGCTTGGTTTTTGGCAGGATGTCGTTTTTGCTCTTTCAAGGTCCATGCTGTAGGATCTTTTTCGTATATACACTCAGACATAGAAAACTATCTCGAAGGAACCAAAGTGTGAAGACTCCACGACATTATGACACTAATGGGGACAAAAAAATATGTCCAGTCTATCCCTTTGCCCGGCTATTGAAACTTCAAGCCGTGCTGGAACCTAAATCATCTTCATGAGTCGGCCGCGGCAAGCCCGCTGCCAGCCTCAAAAAGGTTGGAGCCATTCACGAGCCATGCAGCTGGGTGCAAAGATTTCCCAGACTCAGCCCCGACGTCAAAACCCATGGTTCACTTGGAATGGGACTCCAGCTAAGTTTGACAAAGTTTGACTGGGAGTGAACGACATGTGTGAGTCTGTGGCTGCAACATGGTTTCGCATGGTTTCGCAACATGCTCCAATGGCATGTGGTGACAACAATTTGTGAAATCGTATTTGATTTCAACCTCGCAAGACATGTGACTCCAGCCTTGAGGCAAACAAAATGGCTGAGGGGAACTCCAAGAGGTTACAGGTTTGTAACATGCCTAGTGTCGAAACGTATCTGAGCAGCCCAGAGAAGACCACAAAGCAACTCTTCACGCAAATATTTGTTGCTTTTCGTAGCGCTTCTGCGTGTGTGAAACATGGAAGGCCCAACAGGCCCAATATCAACATCATATAAGATCATCGATCCAGAAGATCACACACTTGCGGAGCCGTTCAGTACCAATTTTCATTGCAGCGTCAGGCCTCCAGTGGCACAAGGCCCCATTGACATTAGTGACGGACAGGGCTGCACCAACTGAACTGCTCCCATTGACACTGTTGTAACCAAGATTCTGCGCGCTCCAACATTGTTACAATCTCGTCGTGGCCCCGGCTTCTTGCATCGTCCAACGGAGTGTTGCCTGAGTGCTGGGACCAAGACCTATGTGACGCTGCTTCCGGCATCACACTCAGTGTTTCGCTGGAATTTCAAGAGCCATATTGAAGAAAGTACTAATATTATAATTATTGTAATCTATATGATACTAGTATAAATATTTCCATGTATCAAGTTCATGAGATACAAAATATAGTTGTTTTCATTCTTCACACCAATGCAAGTTGCTCCAAAGGCTATTCACGCCCCATGTTGGTTGGGCTGAAGTTCCATCTCCCACGAGACAAGGGCCCAGAGTCCAGAGGTTGCCATTAACTTTCATGGTGACTCTTGTAGACTGTTTTGAAAACTGAAAGAAGTAGTGTGCAGTTTCACCTTCTTGCATTCAAAGTTGAAGGAGATCTTTAAATTATAACCCAAATGCAAACACATGACACAGTTCAAACGGAAATGAAGAGAACCTCAATGTCAAAGTGCCAAATCAATCGACATACCAATTGTCGCTTCTCTGTAATCAGAACACGTAATCAAAGTATTCCCAAGATGCTGTTTTCAAGTGAAATGCAGGCCTCAACACAATATCAACGGACGGTTCCTGTGCTATTTTCAGTCCGGAAGTGCTAGGACCAGGAATTGCAACGAGAAAAACCACCTCAATATCAGGTTGTCCATACATTTCCAACCAGCAGATAGATTGTTCGTTCAGTTTTGTAGATTGTGGCTCTGGCGAGACGTCTTGATAGATATCACTATGATATCAAGACAGGATGTGTGACAATGTGTGATGTATGCTAATCATTTTCATGCAACATATGTTGCATGTGGAGGCTGGAGGTGCGTTGTGCATATTCATATATCGATCATGACGCATCTCTATCAACAAACATTCATTGGGTCTACATCCATTTGCATTGGAGGTGTCTTCTCATGCTGCTTCCATGTCTCAAGCAATGCTGTGTCTTTGGGATTTCGAATGATGTCGAGAATGCCTGTCTAAATGCGTACCGTGTCTCCGCATCTCCAATCACCTTCAGCTAAACAACCCTAGTGCCTAAGGACCCTAAGACACCTTGACTGACTGACTACTGACCACAGGAAGTCTCAACGTTCGATAACAAAACAGCCGCCACACAGTAATAAGATGTAACAAGTGATAACTAGTAGCAATACAATAGAATCAGATACGAAAGCAAAAACCATCAAAAGCCCATCACATCTCCCAGCCGAGGCCCCCGGCCTTTGTTGTCTTTCACAGTCACCGAGGCCTTCGCCTCGACGAGCAGCTTCACCACCTCCACGCGGCCGTTATACGCCGCCCAATGCAGCGGGGTCTCACCTCGGGCGAGCGACTGCCCCCAGAAATGTCCTTCTGATGCAAAGCAAAGCGAAGACACCGAAGATTGTGAAAAGACTGTGAAAAATCCATGAATGTGCCAAGTCTCCGAGAAGCTGCACATCCAAGGCTCCATCAGGAGCATCAAATACCGCCAAGTTCAATTCTTTTCATGATTGAAATTATAGTTGTTTCAATCGTGTGATATCTATTGATATCTTCTGTTTTTTCAAATTCTGTCCATGTGTGGTTGTTGATCCAAATGATTTCAACTGGAAACTTGAAAACTGCCTTTTTTGAAGTGTCAAAACCTACCAAGCCCACCAAAACCGCCCAAAGTTTTACAATGTTTTACCCACCAATCCCACCAAAACCTTTACATTTCACATGTTGAGTTTGAAATTCTTAGCACCTTGAAATCTCCCCAAAGCACCGTGCATCCATCTCTTCAGAGCCGAGAGGCCTTCGATCTCCCTGGCGTCCACCTCGGCCCCCGCCGCCAGCAGCACCCGGCAGATCTCCGCGTGGCCTTCGCCCGCCGCGACGTGCAGCGCGGTGGCGCCGAAGCCGGCCGTCGCGACCACGGCTCCGGGCACCGTCCGCAGCAGGTGCCGGACTCCCGAGGTGACCGTGGAGGGCCGCCGTGACGATGTCGTTGCCGCCTCGGGGGGCCACGGGCCGCCCCGGGAGGGCACCGGTGGAAGGGCCGCAGAGGCCACAACGGAGACCCAAAATTTATCAAAATTTCGTTACAAGAATTAAGCTAGAATGAAATCTAAGTTTGAAGACTTGAGCGAGAATGAAATCTAAGTAATCACAATTAATTCAAGTACATGATGATTTGGTTTTAAGACAATCCATAGATCTCAACATGACCTCAGCATGACCTCATGCAATCAGTCTGACTCCTTTTAAGTTTGTTGGCTCAACAACTATGTGTATTGTATGGTTTTGGATATGCTTAAATTGCATAGAATGAAGACTGGGAGAAAATAGAAACATCATGAAACAATATGAAACATCTGATTTTGAGGTCAGATGGGATATTATGGGATATGATGGGATATGATGGGATATGATGGGATATGATGGGATATCGTTTCAGAATTAGTTTGGTAAATTCGTGCAATGTGTGTCGAGATGTGTCGAGAAAGCGCTGACCATGCAGGGAGCAGACCCGGGATCAACTGCTGAGAGCCCAGCATTCTGCCGCTTCTTTCTCATCCTCTGCTGCCTGGTTTGCCTCAGCTGCCTGGTTTGCCTCAGCTGCCAAGTGAACAGACACAAGACTCACCGGTGAATTACAAGTGTTTTTTTGTTCTACCCATGAAGGCCCTCATGACTCCCATCTATCTACATGTTGCGACATTTTTTTTCATTGAAGTCAAGTCCGGAAACTTGTTTAGGGAGGCGGCCTCATGCTGAGGATCCACCACTTCATGAAGCATGTTTGCCTTCCTTATCCATGCGCAATGTAAACAGACATAGATATGGACATAAATGGTCCTCCAGGTCGAGTCTCGACAAATGCTTCTGAACATGCAATGCTGCACAACATGTTTTTTGTCCCGCCATCCCAAAACACGAAATCAGTATGGTGCATGTTGAAGCATTTGAACAATCATCATGGGCATGCGCTGCAATGCGCTGGTTGTGTTGCTTGAGCTGGGGATGCTTATCATGTAATTATTTCAATGTCAAAATGGGTTGACTCGTTCTTGACTTGTTCTTCTTGCAACTTGTTCTTCTCTTTCTGCGAAAGAGTTTAATCTTGCTTGAATTTGAAGGCCCCCAACCACTGACAGGTGAACTACTGTCACATTGCTCCTGTCACAGGCCAGGCCGCTGCAACGACCGTCAGCGTTGTGCCAGGCATGACGTTTTCTTCTGCGAGCATCTTCTCTTCATCCCTTGGCAAATACGGAAAAGTACTCTTGAACGAGCGAAGCTCTTGTTCCAGAATTTGTGATCTTGATTCAAGAGACCTTCATTTTGTTTGCTGTTGCACTGGTATGAACATCCGAACCATAAATTACATGCACGTGTCCTATTTGCAGGTTGCAATACCTGGGAATATCGGAATATCTCATTCCGCTTTCACAAATTGTTCTAACATGTTCTAACCTGAGTCATTCTCCAGAGGACGCTGTGATTCTGATTGTCCTTCGCCGAATGAGCTTTTCCACACCTGTATTTTCCTGGACTTAATCGGACTTTCCTGGACTTATATAATCGCTGCATTCACCGACATTCGCCATTCACCATCCACCAACATCTTGACAAACCTACACAAAAGTCACTGAAAAAGCTCTGTTCTCTTTCTGAAAGACATTGCCGGATATCTCAAAGACATTGCCGGGTACCGTTACAGAAGGGCCCATCGACGCAGTATGAGTTCACCGCTGCCACAACGTCGTGTTTTAGGTCCGGTTGCTTGTCCGGTTGATTCATATTGCAACCTTCACCAGGCGCAACATTAATGAAACAGGCGAAAGTTTAGAAGAGTTCTTTGCAGCCCAAGCAGCAATGGCTCCATGTTGGGACCAATCAAGCTCTTTATGGTAAGATCCAGTTTTTGCCTCGGGTTTCCAACTGCGCGAATATGCAGCGCGGCAGGCTGCAATCAATCCCCTACTCTTCTCTCATGTGTGTGAGCAGCGCCAGAAACTGACTGCGCCTGCTTCATTCTGCGCCTGCTTGATTCTGCGTCTAAGTTGATATCCCTGGCCTCTTTAGAAATGAATGAAACTAAGAAAAAATAAGTATACCACATTATACCGAATTATACCACCATAAATAGGAAGTACAACCGAGCATTGAAGGCCATGCAAGTACTTGGGCATGAAGGTTGACAACTGCTGCACGTAGCACAACCAGTAACAGACACCTAGCAGAGGAACACCAAGACAAAAACACCAAAACAGTGTCTTGGAGAATGCAAAGTCGCCAAAGACAAGCCAGGATCAAACCCATCTAAACCCCACATGACATGCCGCACACCCAACTTGCTAAGGTGCTGAGCTTCTTCTTTCAGCTGTCAGATAGTCCGGTCTTGCAACCACAGGCCTGAGATTCCGAAAAAGCAAACGAGAGTGGAGGTATCAACACAATCCACCGATGCAGCCGTGTAGGGCACCAACCGGCTCATCACATCTCATCTCATTTGATTCGGAGAATAAATAACATCGATTGATGAATCTGCAACAGTAACTCTTGAAAATCGACAGTAGCCACTTCTTTGCATGTCAACAGCGGAGATTCTACATGCTTACACTCGCTTACACCATCTTACACCTTGCATGGACAAAGGGAGGTGTATCCATGGGGCGGCCGAGTCACATTCACAGTCTTTGCCGCTCAGCAGAGCCACGAAAACCTGGCCACTTGGCTCATGCACTAGCTGCTAGCTAGCTAGATTCTGCCAATCGAAGGTCAGTTCTATGAGCATCGCACAATGTGAAGCAACTTTAAAGGCATTCCGATAGAATTTGATGGCAGACCACGAGGATTTACACTTGAAGACTCAAGGACCAAGCAGCCAGTTCCTGAATATACCTGTGTCAGCACTACAGGCAAAAAGATAATGAACAATGGAACATTTTGACATATTGAACACTGTATTGCCATGGGACTGGCTCCCGCAAAACCCATGACCTTCTTGTCATCGCCGTCCTTTGCAAGGTCGTGAGGTGTGGTGCCTCGCAACACAACCCAGCTCCGAAAGCCAAACCTCCGCAATTCCTTGGGTGTGCAATTCCTGCAATTTGCTCTGGACCCTGAAAGGTGAGACCCTGAAATCAAGAGTCAAAGACCACCATAGACTGCTTGTTTTGCTTTCAAGAGATATGTGTTTTCAAGAGAAACCAACACCTCCAATTCTGCGCCCACTTCTTAGGCAATCCGTTGACCCTGATGAACCTACTGGTACAGCTGATACTTCAGAACTCCAGCAGACAAATCAAGACATCTTAAGGATTTTTAAGGTCTGAAAAGTCAAGACATCTTGACATCTTAAGGTCTGAAAATTCTGAAAAGTGTTCGTTTCAGTCGACAATCAGGATCATACATTCTAACCAAAAATTCTAAGACGCTCCTCCCGCGGAAGCAGCCCCTGCCACCAACCATCAGCATCTCCGTGGCCTGCATGACTCACCAGCTCTCGAAAACAAGAACTAGCAACACCATGCAACACCTGCAATATGCACTGCACCCTTCTGGTATTCGGGATATCACTTTGTCCGAGATCTTCACGCTTGAGTGTGATTGGAGATGAAGGATTTGCGCTTGGAGGCATGGGGCCCAGCTAATTCCTGTGCGCAAGCAGCACTTGTCAAGAGACGTTGAACGCAGTTTTGCCAAGGGGCTGACACCGGCAAGGCCACACGAATCAACGAGGGCAAACACTACCAGGTTGTTGAAGACTTTTGGATATGTTTGGCATGTTTCTGCCCATGCGATCTGGAGTTGATGTGGATGGGTTCTGGTTTCGGAGTTGTAGTACCAAGTTCAGAGCACCCCTTCAAATTTAATTGAACTTTGCAAGGTCAACGAAGTTCATATGAAATGCGTGGAATTGATTATTTGTTCATTGAAAATGCACTGAGAAAACATGGGGAACGTGGACGAGGCTGCTGCATGGTACAAGATTTCATGGTTGGACTGAAGTGGTTAATTGCAAGGTCTGGATCGCCCACAGAAACACTCGTCCAAATATGAGTTTGGCGCAGAATGTGTGATGTTGGGCCTATGTTCTTTACACTTGACCGATTCCGCCGTTGGCTTACACGGCGCCTCTCTGAGACATCTCTTTCTACCCAGATCATGCGAGGTCGTGGACACTGCCCGCATAATTTAGGTTGGGGAAGACAACAAAATTGAGGTGGGACGCTGATAACTTTCAAGAGTTTTCTTTGTGGATATCCAAGTTCTCAACTTTGGAGAAGGGTTCAACAAGTCGAGGCCGATGGCCAGTGTGCGACAAGTGTCTGCAGGCCGCGAGAGTTTGAGTGGATCCAAATGAGGCTCTACAAAATTTCTTCAAGACTCCACCCAAAACATCATCACAACGACGTTCCGCGGATTTGTGGTTGAATTGGGCGAAGGTTTAACATGGTTCAAACATGCACAATCCAATGAACGCAATCATCAGATTCTTTGCTTTTTCGATGAGAAGGCACCCATGTCAGGATATTCAAGACCGTTTTAAATGACAGCGTCATAAAGGCTGCTCAGAATGGCAAACAGAATGGTAGCAAATAAAAACATGTTCTGCGTTTTCTAACAGTATTCATACCTTTAGGACTTTAGGATCCTTTAGGCACAATAAAACACCTCATTGCCCAGCTCAACTATTGTCAGACTTTCAGCATGTGTAGGCCAAGGCAAGCGCGTTTCCAGCCTGAAGAGTTGGAGCCACTCGCGCAGCCATGCAGCAGCGGGAGGTTCGTGTTCGATGGGCAAAACCAATGGACCAATCCAAATGAGAGGGGACCTGAGCAATTCCAGCATGGAAACTGACAACCCTGTGAATTTGTCCCTGTCAAATGGGCTAGAAAGCTGGCAAGTTTGTCACCTGCACATGGCGACCGAGGCTTGATTTCAATCTTCCGAGGCTTGAACCAGGATGTGCCAAGAAGCAGCATGATGACTCCAGACACTTGAAGCAAACAAAATGGTCGGAAGGAAACTCACGAATGTTCGCTGATAGAGTGTCGTTTCTGTGGTCGAAACATATCTGAGCAAGAAAAGAGCCGAAATGAGAAACATGTTCCTTCAATTCTGTACCTCGCAAAACAGTCATCTATTTGTGCGCCCTCAGATGTTTGCATTTTCGTACCGATTCGACCAAGGGCGCGTGAAACATGAAGGCCGCACCATCAATCCAGAGATCGCACCAACAGCTGAGTTGCTCCACGCGCAAATCTTGGAGCTTCATGCCTCAGGTAAAGCAAAGGCACAATCAAAATCTGCGGCTGTAGCTGCGTCTTGCTGGAAGCTTCGGACTCCGAAACGAACGACCTGCTCTCGTTGACACATTTGTGCAGCCAAGATTCTGCATTCTCCAGAATCTTCACAACTTCATCGTGGCCCTGTTTTCGTGCATTGTCCAATGGAGTCCGGCCTGAGCGCTGCAATTGATGTTGATTGCACCACACTCATGGGTCTTGATGTCATTTCAAAAGCCATATATTGAAGAATTTACTTGTAGAGATTTGTAGAGCGTCTGACGTATCCAATTCCGTCACTTTAAACAAAACATTGTTGCCGTCATTCTTCACGCCAGTTATTCAAGTTGCTCCAAACGCTATTCACACCCCATGTTAACAATGTTGATTGGGCTGAAGTTCTATCTCCCAGAGACAAGCCCTCCTTGAACCCCAGGGCCAGAGTCCAGAGCTTGCCATTAACTTTCATGGTAGCGTTCATAGACTGTGTTGAAACTTGTGGAAAGCTGGAAAGATTGCAGTTTCACATCACTTCCGCATCCTTTTGTGGCATTCGAAGTTGAAGGAGACCTTCAAATTCGAACCCCCAGACCAAAACAAATAACACATGCATTTGAAATGGTGCTTCTCACGGATATAAGCACGTAAGAAAAGTATTCCCGAGATATGCTTTCAAGTAAAATACCCTCAACACAAAATCAACCGATTGGACGGTTCCTGTGCTAGTTCAGTCCAGGAGGGCAAAGAATTCCAATGAGAAAAAAATCTAGAGAATCAGGTTGTCCATACATGCCCATACAGCTTCGAGATGGCAAGTTCGGTGTTGTATAATTTTGCTCTGGCATCTTGAAAAATATTGCGAACAAATGAGGATATGTGTATATGTAGTATGCACGCATCATTTTCATGCAACGTATTGCACATGCGGAGGCTGGCTGTGCGTTGTGCATATTCACAGATACCATGGATCATATGATACATCATGATACATTTCTATCAACAAACATTCAGTGAGTCTCCATCCATTGAGACCTCGTCCCATGCTGCTTCCATTATCTCAAGCAATGCTGTGTCTTGTGGATGTGGTAGAATGCCTGTCTACATGCGTACTGTGTCTCCGCATCTCCAATCACCTTCAGCTAAACAACCCTAGTGCCTGAGGACCCTAAGACCCATTGATGGCCTCCCGACCACAGGAAGTCTCAACGTTCAACAAACAAAACAGCCACCATAAAGAACTACAATAAGTATAGTAATACAATAGAATCAGATAAGAAAGCAAAAGCCATCAAAAGCCCATCACATCTCCCAGCCGAGGCCCCCGGCCTTTGTTGTCTTTCACAGTCACCGAGGCCTTCGCCTCGACGAGCAGCTTCACCACCTCTACGCGGCCATTATACGCCGCAAAATGCAGCGGGGTACCACCTCGGGCGAGCGACTGCTCCCAGAAATGTCCTTCTGATGCAAAGCAAAGCGAAGACACCGAAGATTGTGAAAAGACTGTGAAAAATCCATGAATGTGCCAAGTCTCCGAGAAGCTGCACATCCAAGGCTCCATCAGGAGCCCCAAATACCGCCAAGTTCAATTCTTTTCATGATTTAAATTAATTGAAATTATAGTTGTTTCATGTTGTTTCATGTTGTTTCAATCGTGTGATATCTATTGATATCTTCTGTTTTTTCAAATTCTGTCCATGTGTGGTTGTTGATCCAAATGATTTCAACTGGAAACTTGAATACTGCCTTTTTTTAAGCTTCAAAACCTACCAAGCCCACCAAAACCGCCCAAAGTTTTACAATGTTTTACACATCAAAACCTTTACATTTCACATTTTGACTTCGATTTTGTTTGGCACCTTGAAATCTCCCAAAGCACCGTGCATCCATCTCTTCAGGGCCGAGAGGCCTTCGTCGTTCCTGGCATCCACCTCGGCCCCCGCCGCCAGCAGCACCCGGCAGATCTCCACGCGGCCTCTGATCGCCGCCTCGTGCAGCGCGGTCCACCCGTCGCCGTCCTTCCTGGCCACGGCGCCGGGCACCGTCCGCAGCAGGTGGCGCACCGCGCCGAGGCGGCCATTGAGGGCCGCCATGACGATGTCGTTGTCGCCTCGGAGCACGCGGCCGCCCCCGGAGGGCACCGGAAGGGCCGCAGAGGCCACAACGGAGACCCAAAAAATCGTGGAACACGTCGAATGTTTTCTATTTTTTTTGAGTCAACAACGAAGTGTATTGATGTGTATTGATGTGTATTGTATGGCTTGGATATGCTTGGATTGTATATAACGAAGACATACGAAGACTATCGAAAATAGAAACATCATGAAACATCTGGTTTTGAGGTCACTTTTCCAGCTGTTCAACTTTAACATGTTATCATCTCAAACCATCTCAAACGTATGATCCAAGGCCCTTGGCATCTTAGCGTCACATGTGGAGCCAGGCCCTGGATCCAATTTTCCATTTCCTCTTGCTCATAGGGCACTGGGGTCACTTGGCGTCTCAAACTAGTCTTGTCAGGTTGTACTCCATCTATGACATCTACGTATGCAAGCTGCGAGTGTTACCATCTTCTTCGTGTCAAAGTGATGACTGTATATAGTACAGATATGTACAGATAATGTGTGTATGTGGATTGTATCAGTTGTATGGTAATTGGATGTAATTGGTGTGTGGTGGCATCATGGCATTTGCAAGGGATCAAATGCCTCTGCCAAAACTAGATCCAATTGTATTCACAGCTCCTCTGATGTGGAATTGTGGATCATACAACTAACGCACACCTCCAAATACAGAAGATGTCTCAGTGAGGTTGCGCGGCTTCCATTGTTTCCATGTTCGATCTGCTCTATCGTGTCATCATCTCCACGTGATAATCTCAAATTGAAAATCTAAACTGGTTAGAGGCATGGCATTGTGAGACTCAGAAACGGGTCACGGGACTGTTGCAAAAAAGTGTCCGAAGATCTCAACTAAGTCTATATTCACATCTGAATACATCTCAACCAACTTGCACTCAATCCGTATTTGCCTGCTGTTCAACGCTATGATTTTATAAAATTTTATAAATCATATCTCGCATCTCAAAGCGATGATCTGCAAGATCTCAACCTCTAAGACCCCAAGATATCCCAAGATCCTGTAAGATCCTGAAGAACCTCTCCAAGACCCTGACATCTTGCAGCTTCCTCTGCATCGGCAGCTTCTTGGGCTTCTCGGGCTTCTCGGACTTCTTCAGCCTGCCGCTTGGATGGGCAACATCGCAAGAAACTCACACGGAGGGTCTTGGGCACAGCAGCAAACAGCATGTTCTACACGAAAAACAAGTGCCCCATATCAAACCTCTCAAAACTTCAAAGACAGTGTTGAGACACCGATACTTCCGCACCTCCAAGGATGCTACCTCTTCCGCTTTTCCCGTGGGTGATCGAGGGTCAAACTGCAGCTGTGAGATCGGCTCCTTGATGTCAATGACATCGGCATCCCACACAGATGAATCCTTGATCTCGACCAACTTGTCATCGGGCTTGTCACCTGCCTGAGGTGCAGTTGTGGCGTCTTGATCTTCCGACATTGGCTTTGAACGTGGAACAGCACCCGTCTCTTCAGCATCTCTTTGGACCCTGGCATCCTCTTCTTCCTGCGAGGCCTGAATTGCCAACTTCGATGGCAGCTGCACTTTCGTCAAGGCTTCAGCAGAAGCAGTGGTGGTCTCGGCCATAGCTGTGGATTCATTGAAGGTATCACTTTTGAATTTCGTGACCCCCAAGAATTCCAGCCAACCTCCTCGGAGGAGCTGGTTCACAATCACTGCCTGAAGCTGCGCCCGAGTGATAGCCTGATAAATAATGGAACGTCCAACCTGATTTGCACTTTGGTCACCAACTTTTTGATCCAGACCAATGCACACCACCATGAGTGACTCCAGTCCCTTTGCATTCTCCACCGTGTCCAGCACTATCAGCTCTGCATTGTCGGCATGTGTGGCCTGCTTCACTTTGACGTTTGGGAGCATGCGTAGCGACTCAGTAAACGATATCAGCTTGAAGTTTCGCCCTGCAAGGCGTGCCGTCAAGAAATGTCTTTGCAACGCATCTCGGAACTGCTCCAGAAAGTCAGGGTTGGGAACCAAAAGCGCCAGGCGCTTGTGCAAACTGAGTCCAGCGTAGATGCACATGACAAAAAATAATGCAGATACAGTGTGTTCGGCATAGTTTTCGTAAAGCTGTCCATCAGACTCAAAGAGGAAAGCCTTCAGAGGGGGCCCAGCTGGGCATAATGAGCCGATCTGATGTTTCTCTGCCGCACTTGCTTGAAATGCAGCTGCCCCAGCCACGATCCTCTGCGTACTGCGCACCACTTGGGTCATTGTGATCTTTTTGGCTGGTGGAAAGTCCACTGCACCAAATGAGTTTTGGGATACGCTCGACAAGAACAGCACTTGTCGTGGTGCCTCAATCTTCTCTTCCAGAAAAGCGCTGTTCCCATCTGTACAGAAAATATCATGTGCTTCATCGATGATGGTCAAGAGAAATCGCATCTTGCTGTCGGGCAAGGTCGTCCAACCCAAGCGGTCACCGTCAACGTGCAAGCTCAAAAAATGTTGGTATGGATGTTCCATCAACACAATGCGCCTCAACAACATATGAAGCTTCCCACGGCTTGGAGGGCTCTGAGCGAGCCACCACACGAAGTAGAGGCCAAGGGCAATGGAAGGTGCCACGAACAGAATGTGTCCTTCATGATTGCTTCTGAGCTTATCCAGCAGCTACGAACGTCTTCCCAGCTCCTGCAGGGGCCGATAGATGGACGTCTTCACCTTCAATGAGATCCTTGATTTCTCCCACTTTCTCCTTTTGATGGTCTGTCAAGTCTGATAGGTTCTGCAATTCCAGTTCGAAAACTTTGCAAAAGAATGTCTTGTCCACATGGATTTGCCAGTTGACCAAACCTTTGTTGATGTTGCTTTCCAACTCATTGCTCAAGACCAAGTCGCGCACGCGCAAAAGTAAATCAATATGCTTGATGCGAAGTCTAATCGCCAGTGATGGAGTGCCATCGGGGAATAAGAATTCCTGATCCTTGAAGGTCTTGAGATCTGGCGGTAACGAGTTTTTCACCAGGCCGATGAAGTGTTCACGTCCAACTTCTGCAAGCATGGTTTGTATGAAATCAGCATGCCTTATGCGATCAGTTACGAACAGCTGCCCACTACTTCGAGATTGTATGGTCCATTTTGAGTCCTTGGGTTTATTCGGTATCCTTGAGGGAACACCAACTAGTGTCCCCCTACACCACTCTTTGCCGTTGCAGGCATCAACTTTCGCGCCAACTTTGAACTCTTCCTTCAGGAAATGGCTGACATCCACATGATCGTACTCCCAAGCCTCTCCCGCCTCTCCTTCCTGTCGCCTCATCAGCTCCAAATGTGCTATTTCACACTTTTGGCTGCCGCCGCAGCCGACTCCATCCCAAAGATCGATGGCGTCACTTTTCAAGTGATCAAAGGGAACAATTCCTTGACCAGTTTGGCCCGGAAAAAACACTACCTTGAGACATTGCTTCAACCTCACGGCTTCGGCCACCCGCTTCTTCCACGTGTGGAACCATTCGCATCCCCAGGAGGCAACTCTGCCACTGTCCTCCCAAGCTTGTTGTGCTTTCTCTTCAGCTTCTTGTTTGTCTTTGTCGCTGGCATCTGATCGAACCACAACAGTCTTCGTGGCTTTCGCCTTCTCTACCTCAATCTTCTCCTCTGCTTCGCTACAAGATGCTGGCAGCTCTTTCAAGTAACCGAAAGTCCTGAAGTCCCGCTGCCCATAAATTGTGGGGCAATAGCACTGGCCACCAAATTCTTCTTTATAGTGCTTTCCAAGGCCGTCAGCTGGAGTGCATAGGAACACGCATGCCACGGATTGTCCGTGGTGTTCCTTGATCAATGCATCCCAACCGGCTGCATATTTTCCAGGAAAGGACACGTAGCAGTCCACACCTTCTTCCTCCGGTAGGCGATGTCCGCAGTTCTCTCCAAGATGGCTGGCTTGTCTCGCAATGTGAAGTAGAGATGAGGTTCTCCAATCTCAGCCTAGGCAACAGGGTGAGAGTTTTGCTGCTCATGCACTTCAAGATTTCAGAAGAATTCCAAGATCTCAGGTACTGGAAAGCCAGTGTACTGGAAACATCTGGGAAAGGTTGATATCAAGCCTTAAATTGGACTGTTCCGACACAGAAGGCCACATGGTGAGCTCCTTGATCAACAGGAATTAACCATATTTAACCGCTTAGCCAACTTAGCCAACTTGGCCAACTTAGCCAACTTAGCCAACTTGGCCCACTACATCATCACAGGATAAATTCGATAAATGCTTGCGGAATCTTGCCTGTGCAAGGGCAGTCTCCACTGCGGCCTGGAAAAATCAGCATGGTGAGGGGCATGGTGAAGCGGTTGGCACAACTGAAATTCTCACCCGACAAAAAAGATGCCTTGTGCACATTCAATAATTTAGCAACATGCAGCAACAGGATTTGTCAAACATTCACAACTCAGGAAAAAAGGAGATCCCAAGAGCCAAATTATCATTTCTCGGAGTTCTTGTGCTGACGCTTGTGGATATAGAAATTCTAAAACAGATTGAAACGTTGGATACTTGGGAACAATGAGGTACAAATCAACAACATCCTGGAAGTTGAATCATATCTGTTTAGGGGGTCCTGTTGAGTTTGCTTGTCATCTCACCTCTCTGCATTGCACTCGCAGAATGGGCGCCTCTGGGAATTGCGCTTGTGCCTCGTCCAGGAGTCTCTCTGCCTCTTCAGCTCCGGCCTTCCAAACTGGACCAAGCACAACTCAAAACATGGGAGTTTTGGAGATGCCGCTGCTGTGACGCATGTCAAATCATATCACATGCACTCCAAATGAAATCGAAATTGCAATACGTGTCCATGTTTGCAGGCAAACTCTTATCATTGGAAGAAAAACTGTGCAGGCCAGCTGCTAAATACTATTGGCTACTCGCATCTAAATCTGCTTCGCACGGGTAGCATTTACCGCGCCTGCAGCTCCTCCACTCTTCTCCTAAGACTCGGGACCTTGCAAGGCACACTCAAAACACCCCTTAAACCTCTGGCACAATTTCCGCCCTGGATCGAAAGAAAATGTTCGTTCGGCATCAAGTTGTGCTGGAAGACAAGTCAAAATATGTCCTGACAAAATAGAACTCTATCTACTATCTTCTACTATACACTATGTAAAAAAAAAAAAAACAGGCCGTACAAAGTTACAAGCTTGCAGGGCTGTCTCGATTGATGAAATCTCGCCTGGGCGAAGCCGCCAGCAGACATAAAGGTATCGACATCTGCGACCTCCATGGCCAAGGATTGGTCATGGTGAATCGGCACAACCTGACACAACTGAGTTCCATAGATTATCATAGATTTATCTTTGAAGCTCAAGGACCAAAGCCGGTCAACCGCATTTTTTTGGGAAGAAAAACCAAACAATGGCCTCAGCATGTGCCAGGGGGTTATGAGGTTGGGCATTTCTGGACATTTTTTGGGTTAGCAACGCTTTCTCCGCACGTCATGTTTGCAGGAAAAACATGTTTTAGGTCTTGCTGATCTTGTTGTCATTGCTGGGGGCTCTTTACTGCGCATTTCTTGTCCACGGCCTCCTCGGCTGTCAGCTGGAACTGAACCGAGCCACCGCTGCCCATGGTGAGCCTGGCAGGAACTGAAACGAGAAACTCCAGTGCCTTCATCTTCCGACTTTGAGCTTCCTCCGGTGCCCTCCCGGAGTCCTGTGGTCGAACTGAGGTTGAAAGCCCAAAGGCCAAAAGGCCCAAAGGCTCAAAGGCTCAAAGGCTCAAAGGCCTATGCGGAACCTCGGGATGTGAGGTGCACAGACCACAACCACAATATTCAGGGTGAAACTCGACTCGGCAAAATGAAACCCCAACAGAATGCACGTTGTCCCAGTCTGGTAGGCTACCGCCACCGCATCCAAAGCTGAGGCCAAACACGTACAGGGTTGCAATGAATTCAGGAAGTGGCGGCAGCAAAGAAAAGGAGAAAAAGAAAATGCCAATGACTTTGCAAAGGCACCGTTCCCAGGACTTTGAAATCTTTGTATGTAATTGCAGGCTTTGATTTGACCAATGCCACTTAATTAGCCAGGTTTCTATGCGTTCACAACTGTCTAAAATCCTTGAGACCTATTGGTTTCCTGCACATGTTTTGCTGTGTTGAAGCTGCAAACTGCGCCATGTCAAGCAACATTCCAAGGGAAGTTGACCCCTACCTGCTCAAATTTGATCTCACAGCTTGCACTTGAGGACGGAGAGACCAAAACACTACAAAACCTGACAGGGTCGAACTTTTCCAGCACGTGCTTGCCAGCTGAACTCAAGCACAAAGCAGCTGTACATGATCTCTGCGTCGGAGACCAAAGTCACGTTTCACACATCGCTTTTGTTGGCCACACAGCACCAGCTCAGTGTTCCCTGGATTGCCACGGCCATCAATGAACATCAATGAGCATCACACGTATCAAAAGTCTGGACACCCAAAATGATTTAATGCTGCAAGTCTCATTCTGCGCCAGAATGATGACCACCGCTTCCCCCTATCCATTGATTCTACGAGTAGCAGAAGCCTCCTGCTGGACGAGCCTTCTGCCCCATCTTCTTCAGAGCTGTATTTTCTCCCGTGGCAGCACCTGAGCAGGCTGTGGTGCAAATATCTTCCCCCACAAAATTTCCAAAGTGCGAGCTGCATCCGTTTCGCAGGTTTGGACCCTACGATGTTCATCGATGTTTTCCTACGAAGTTTCAACGCCTGAGTTTCGCACTCTTCAGGCCTCTGGAGTATGTCATGAAGCATGGGCTGCTCCCTCGAACCAGGTTGAATATCCCCAGCTGGCAAGAGTTCCTTCGTACATTTCAGTGATGGGTTTCAAAAATGTCTCAGATATTGTTGTTGTGTAAAATCCAGAGTATTGAAATTGCTGAGACGTCTATGACAAACATGGTGTCACCCCAAAGATCCATGATTGTGGATAGCTCTCGGGTCCGTAGCTGAAGGGCAGCACTTTCGAACACAGATAATTACAACACAAAAAGATACAAAAAGTATGACTAAGAGTGAAGACATATCTCAACCATTGGACATTCCCTCAAGCTGTTGTATCCCTAATGCCGTTCCCTGCTGAAACAACGATGCTTCCACCAAACTTCATGCTGGCCTACCAAGTCCAGCATCATGGAGATCTTGCCAAGACAAAACCTGTTGCAGCTGCACCATGCGGCAAAACGAAAAACACAGCCATTGGAATCATTGGAATCTGGTTTGGACTCCAACTTGCAACACTTGAGACATGTTAAGACTCAGATGCGGACAACCCTTCTGGACTCGATTATTTGTGTGGTCTTCAATTGGTATAGAGGGATCCTCCGGATAGAGATATCCGAGTGGCTTCAAGAATCCAGAAGTGACCAAGTTTTGCAGGTAAATATATGTCAATATGCCATTAATACATTGGTACAAGGATCGCGTGCACAGCCCTTGCACTCAGAAAACAAACTGTTTCAGCTGGCTCAGCTGGCTCAGCTGGCTCAGCTCCAGCCGTCGCAGGTGGCGGCGTCCCAGGAAGTGCAATCTAAAGCGCACAACTCTGCCTTTGGCAGAATACGGAACATGTTGCTGCCGCCGCTATTGGCTGCTCTGGCGGCGTAAGCCGACAAGCCGGTGTAGTCGTATTGAGCACCCCATCCCACATAGTCCAGGTTGGCAATTTCAATCACAGTTCGACTGGATGGCGAGTCGCACCAACGGCCTTTTTGGTTTACGGTGATGCAACAGGGTCCCTTCCGCATTGCTTCATCTGTCTGGCTCCAGTCTCTAATGAAGTCGCCCGTGTGCGCCCAATAGATTGCCACCCAGTCCGCTTCGTTGGTGCCTTTAAAAACAATCTCATTGAAGCCTGTTGGGCCAGACCATGTCCCCAAACGGCCCTGACCCCACTTGTCCCAGTCTTCCTTGGATATGCCACGCACCCAGTTCCAGAACAAGCCCTCTGCCAAGAGCATGTCATCAATGGTTGTAAAACTGCATGAGGCCTGGGTAATGGCCCACACCCGAACAGCTTCTGCGCCGTACTGTTTCACGTCGGCCATGGGCTTGAGACCATACCTTTGCACATACTCTTCTGGAGGAAAGTCACATCGCGTGCTCATCTTCTTGAATTGGGGAAAAGCCCAACCACACAAGCTTCCGGAGTTCGATTTACGATGATCTGTGCCACCATCAACAACAAAGCTGCACAACACTTCTGGATGCTTGGAGGGGTCAAAAATCAAACCAATGTAGGTGGCAATCATTGGTGGGAAATCCGAACGAAGAACCGAACCTGAATGATCCGGCTGAATGTCCTGTGGGGTGCCAGTGCCTGAGATGATCAAGCCCCTCTTGCTCTCATATGCTTCCACTACAGCTGCCAAGAGCTGTGACTCATCCTTTCCACCAGGCATCCGATGTTGCAAGAGCTGCGTCTCATCACAGCCTCTTTCGCCTCGCACAGCCAAAATGGCAATGA